AAAAGGGAGCAATCCAATTAAAAACACAAAAGTTTATCTTGAAATAGCCTTGAAGATGAGCTCAAGGTAAAATCCAAGGTCATCTTATTCAAATTTAGTAGAGACCTGACCTTGGTCTTTTTAAAATACTTTAGATGTAAAAATACAGGCCAGTTTCGATACCTTTGATAAACCCCATAGAATGCATAATCAAAATTTAATTTAATATTAAACACTTCACGTGTTTGCTTTAAGCACTATGCCATTTTTAAAACCCACCAGGATTTTTCGTTAATATTAACCGTACTTCATTCTTAAAAATGTGGGTTATCAATCAATTATAGACAGGTTGATTATAAGAATGCCCCGTCGTAGATAATATAAAAGTGTAACATATGTACCTCTTTATAATAGATTGTTTTATTAAATGATACATATGTACAAATTATAAATAAAAGGACAATTTCTTGTAAGGAAAACCAGTGTTTCGTCTGTACAAATGTACATCAATAAGTCTTTAAATGAACTCGTTTTAAATTTCAATTAAAGAAGGCGTATTGGAGAAACCTCGACTGCTTTTCAAAAGACTTATTTCAGTAGTTTCCTATATTCCGCACCACATGAGTTAATCGTATAATTTGGCGGGAGTGCTACCTAATGTGTCTGGTTAAAATAAGGTGGACCTAAGCTTATAAGTACAACCGCGGCTATAATCATCCCTTCTCCATGACAGGTCCAAAATCTAAGACATCCCCCACAAAAATAAATGACAACTATTAGATCCTCATTTTTTCTTGAATGTGTTACGTTTCCTAAGAAAGAAACACTGATTGTTCCCGAGTTGCTGTTTTCAGTTCATCCATGGTTCATTCAAAAAAATTATCGATATAACACACCTTTTTGGATTGATTGAATGAACACTAGTAAAACATACTCCGTGGTCAGACATGTCGGAAGAAAAGGCGGTTAGAAATAACCTCTTCTACCGCTGCGTGGCCATGTTTACCCCGTAGGTAGTCAAGCTCTTATATTGCGCATACCCTTGTGCTCAATACTGTCGAGTGGAGCCTTTTGACACTTTTATCCAATTTCCATAAATCTTTTATCGCACATTCTTTAACTAATTTTACTCCACCGGTTTCAGTTTCTGCGAAAAATTTAACAATAAAATGGCTACTGCACATGGATTCAAAAAATGTGCTTACTCCAAATTCCTCACCACAATCATTACTCTACCAGTTTCCTAGTTTGGAGTCGCTCCTTTCAAACATTTCGTTCATATACGGCTTTGGAACCGTAACCGAAACTGCTGGAATCGACGTCATCGGAGTCGAAATCGAAACCGATTCCTGCGGGATGACCGATTCCTGGAATTCCCTCTGCAGTATTGTTCCTATGGAACGACTCGTTCAGAACCGACCAGAACCGACACAGCTCTAAAAAGTCGAGGACTTCTGTACAATACGGAAGGTTTGGCTTAAACTGGTCCCACACAATGTGGCGAATTGACCCGCATTAAAGGATATTACAACGTTGGAAGCATGGTTCGTTACGCTCCACACGAGATGTCATGTGTCTGATGGTTTTAGGTTGGAACCAGTAGCGGCGAAAAACATTATTTACTTGTTTGCTGTGATTGTGGTGAAGCAGTGGAATGTAGGAAGTATTCTGATTTGAATACCTACCTATTCATAATAATGTATGTTCCGTAACTAACTTTTGAGGAGAACGAATTAAATTATTATACATACAAGGCTTAGGCTGTCATAACAACACTTTTTTCATGTTGCTATTATTTTATACGTTTCGCAGTTGAGTTATGACTGACCTAAGGATATTTATTTTAGTAAATTATCAACCGACCGACACAGCTCTAAAAAGTGGAGGACTTCTGTACAATACGGAAGGTTAGGCTTAAACTGGTCCCACACAATGTGGCGAATTGACCCGCATTAAAGGATATTACAACGTTGGAAGTATGGTTCGTTACGCTCCACACGAGATGTCATGTGTCTGATGGTTTTAGGTTGGAACCAGTAGCGGCGAAAAACATTATTTACTTGTTTGCTGTGATTGTGGTGAAGCAGTGGAATGTGGGAAGTATTCTGATTTGAATACCTACCTATTCATAATAATGTATGTTCCGTAACTAACTTTTGAGGAGATCGAATTAAATTATTATACATACAAGGCTTAGGCTGTCATAACAACACTTTTTTCATGTTGCTAATATTTTATACGTTTCGCAGTTGAGTTATGACTGACTTAAGGATATTTATTTTAGTAAATTATAAATTATCAACTGCTTACAGTTGTTTCATTGTAATGTCTTGTTGCAATGCAAGACTAGTTGAGATTTGACTATAGTTCGGTTCCAAATTGGAAGGCAGTAGAGAACTGTAAGCGATGTTGTCACGTGCTCATCGAAGAAATGCATTGAAAGTCTACATATTGAATTTTTGCATGAACATTCAAATGTTGAACAATTTTCTTCTGATCTCCTATTTAAAATAAGACATATAAGCAAAATCTTCAATCTCAAGAAGTCAAAGTCAAATCCTACGGTAAGAAGATCAGTAGCCATATGTCAGGCTTTGCGATCTACGTATCATTGGATAAGGTAGGCTTTATGATATTCAGTCGATGCGAATATTTCCATCCCCTGGGAAAACCGCAATTTTCAACAGGTCTGTATTCTGGCTTATACCATGCCTATCCACGCTAAGAGGGATTTCTCTTAAACTTGATTGAAACACATTGGATTTGACAACATGGAGCAGTCCAAGCAAATAAAGGATACAATGTTGCCAAATCGAATTATATTCAGATATTTCCTTGATAACAGTTTATTATGCTTCGTGATCGAAAATATATTAGCTGCGGCTACTATGTTTTTGATCAGGTCTGAAGCTCCATCGCTATTCGTATATTGTGATTCCGGAAATCAAATCCATCGATTCCCAGAACTGAATTTTTGCGAACCACCTTGCTGGAAATACGTATTTTAAACGTGAATGCTTCAATTCAACCGACAATAATTGAATATTATATAGACCAAGTAGGTCCAGTAGTAAAAAATGTTTGAATATGGATGTCATATGTGAACATCTGATTCATGTGCTAGATTTTCTCCAAATTTTCAAATACTCATAAAAGTCGGGTAACTACGATGACAATGACCTATTTAGAGTATCGGGAAGGTGAGCTTGACTTTTCAGTATATTATTTACGTCTATCAAAAATTTTGCGGCGGATTCCGCCTCGGTCTGAAAAAGTTATGAATCCGATAAAGCAGAAAGTGAGCATAAGCTTGATAACGTCGTAGTCGGCGTCGCGCTATACTCAAAAGATACGCCCAATTTAATTGCATTCGGGTTCCAGCTAGTGTTGTCAGGTGCGGAGCAAATACTGTTAAGGTGTCAAGTAGGGAACGTGTATACGAAAGCTTGGTTAGTGCAGGCATTGCACATATATTCTATTTCAAAAATGAAACGAAATGCAATGTGTAGTACGAACCAGCGGCATGTTTTATGTCCTGATGAAAGAAACATCGTGACAAATGTTTACAATGCACTTCGTTCGGGATTTCCGAATAAAAAGATGGAAGAAACAGTGAGAGATTGTAGCGATATGACCAAGGTATCAGTCAGAACCATTTATAGAATCCTGAAAGCAAAAAAAAACCAGGAGGTAAATCCGATAAAAAAACGAGGACGTAAGAAAGTTGTCCTAGATAATGATGTGAAAAATGTAATTCGTCGGAAAGTGCACTCTTTTTATTTGAAAAATGAAATTCCCAGATTAAAAAAGCTCCAACGGGACTTGGATGGTGACGAAAGAACCTTGCGCGAAATTAACATTAGATCTTCGAAACGAAAAAGGAACAGTGCGTAGGGAATACTTGAAAACCATACGTAGTATTCGCGTAATGGGGAGACAGCAAATTTACTACTTGGATGAATCAAGGGCATACATTATGAAGCTCCGTTCTCACCATTCGAGGCGACAATCGGTAGCCAGGCATAACCACGTAATGTGAGGAGAAACACGTTCTAAGAGAAAATTAAACTCATCTTTAGACATGCGTAGCAACTTTTTAAGATCCTCAGAGAACTTTTGTGATCCCGAGTCTCTCCTTGAACCGATCTACTTTCTGACAAAATAACGCCTATTCTTTCAATTTTTCATCTGTTCACATAACTTTCTTAGCCTTTTTGCTACCATCGTATTTAAAACCTCACAACTTTCAACATATTCCAGCTCCAAGGAATTAACTGAAACTGAATTGTGAACCATGTGAACAGTCCACGACTGCTGCTGGTTCTCGTTTCATCCCCCACTCCAGCCAAGATTCACGACAGCAAAATCGCAAGCGTGCCACGCTGTCTTCTTGCCCCGTGAGAACCTAGCTTAAAATATTTACTGTCGCGCTACTGCCCGTCTCCCGTCCATACCAACAAACGGTAGACGCGGCTTTCTTTCAAATTTGCCGCTGCCTTCAATTTTGATATCAGGCTATAGCATTTCATAGCTAACGGAAACGATTAAATAAATGACAACTCTGAAAGTACTCTCAGGATTTTGATGAAATTCTGACACTAGGTTACTAATATGAAAATGACGAAAAAGATCTGCAGTTTTTGAAAATCGGTACAGTGGCGGCGGAAGTATCGTCGAAAAACAAAAAAAAGAAAACGGTCAAACTTCGTTTTTCGACATTTCTGAGGCTTCGGACGGACTTACGTTTTGGTCCCTGAAGACAGATCTGTAATTATTTATCAAAGCTCGAAAAAAATGTTTCATCGTTCATTGTGTTTAATTTTTCCTTCAGTTGTAAAGGTTCAAGCGCGACACTGACACCGAATTAGACGTTGGCGCCACCACGTCCGAGACTAAAATGTTCATCCCATCGTGTAGGAGACACACTTAGCAAATGGGGGTGTCGAACATAAACAACGTTGGAAGCATCTTGTGGAACCCGCACTACAGAGTTGCAACTGTACTCGGCACGTCGGGAAACACCGCCAAAAAAAGACGGTCTGTGACCGGCTTAACATGACGCTTATGTCATTTTGACATTCAGCCATTTCCAACTAACCTTCGTCCGTTGTTTTTCTGGACGTTCCAGAACTTCAAGCAGTTTATCGCCGTAATACGTAATATTTGTCCATTATTTACAAAGATTTGGCCAAAATAGTGGATTTTTAAACTGTGGAATAGTTAATTTGCTATTGTAAAATGGAGAATTTCGAGGGTGAGTGGAGTCCTAAATTCTTTGAAGTTTGTTATTCAGATTGTTAAATACCCTTTAAATATTCCAGATCCCAACCTTGTATTACCACACATAAACCCTACGTTTCTACCAACAATGCATCACAATACAAATTCCAGTGCCAATGTGCAAAGGCGATATATTTATGTGAACCAACATATGGTTCAACAGCAACAAGCTTCAAAGGTATTAGTAAATCCTAAACCACAATGTTTGATAAACCCAAACTCAAAAGTGCTGATCAACCCTCATTTTGCTGCAAAAGTTTATGTTAATCCAAACTTCCAAAGTACTGCAGCAGGTACAGATGCTAGTAATACAAATATTCATGTCAACCCTAATGTTCTGAGAAATATACCAGTTTCTACCCATAAAGATACTCAAATAGATGTTAGTACTAGCTTGAAAAGTTCTGATAAGACTAAAGAGTTATTAGAAACAACTAATACTGTTAGTGCCATCAAAGCTCAGATATCAAAACTAAAAAACGAGAGTATCAAATCTTCAAACTTGTTGCTTAGAATAAATAGACAGATGATTCTACAAAAAAACATTGAGAATATGAAAGAAACGAGGGATTACCAGAACTTAAATAATGACAAACTGAGGAAAAGTAAAAGCATCTATTCAATCAGAAACATTCCAATGCCAACACAAAATGAGCCTTTGGCATCAGGTTCTAAAGATACTTCATTTAAGGGGAGAAAAGCTTCTAGGACAAAACTTATTTGTACTCCAGTTAAACAATTTACTCCAAAGATACGTAGGTTGTCTGTTAAATCGCAATTTAAGATTGTGAAGTCAACAATTAGGAATAAGGCAACCAAGAAGTCTTTAAGCTGCACAAATATGAATGTGTTCTCAACAACCAAACACAAACTAATTAAATTCAAAAATAATGATATAAGCAGATTGAATATCACAAACAACAAATTCAAGTTGGATAACAGACAAAGAAAGTCTTCCATAACTTCACCAAAGGTAAAGAAGTTCATTTATATAAATCAGTTCACAACAGCCAAGGAGTTAGCAAGTGTAATACCATCAAAAGGAGCTAGCAAAAATTTATCATTGGTCAATATACAAGGGGTTCTTTATAAAAAGTCTTGTCATTCTTTGCAAAGAGCTAATGGTTCTATATACAAAGTCAGGAAGAGTCCATTGAAGAGACAATCATTAAATTCAAAGTACAAATTTGTTAAAAGATCACCAAGTGGCAAGGCTTTGGAGAATAGAAATAGCAGTAATATTTTGGTGAAGCAATCAGGGTGAGTAATATTGTATGATAATCTCAAGCTGTTATATAATATGTCATTATATGTCCTGCCCCATGGTGCATACTTGTAACTAATTTTTTTTATCCTTTGTTGAAAAGATGTGCTATTAATTACATTATATAGCATTAATGTAAGATCTATAATTTGTTTGTAGTATTAGTGGAGGAAAAAGAAAAATGAATGATAAACTAAGAAAATGCAACATACCCTGTCCATTTTATAGAAAAATTGGAAGATGCAAAGGGAAAGATAATGGCAAGTGCTTTAGAAAACATGATCCTGATCAGATAGCTTTATGCACAAAGTAAGTATTTCCCTTTTCTGTTTAGTTATATTTTCAGCCTAAGACCTATATCAACTTTAGATTTTTTAGAGTTGAGAATTTCAAAAATACTATTGAAAGTTCTGCTACCTCTGCAGTTTTAACTGTGATTAAAAATTCATTACAATTAACACACATTTCAGGTTTTTACAAGGAGCTTGTGTCAATCCAAAATGTCTTCTTTCACACAATGTATCTCCAGAGAAGATGCCTACTTGCAAATTCTATCTAGAAGGAATTTGTTCCAAAGATAATTGTCCCTATATACATGTGCGTTTGAGCCCAAAAGCTGATATTTGCAGAGATTTTTTGGAAGGGTTTTGTAAAATAGGGATTAAGGTAATGAGGAATTTTTTAGCTCTCATGTGAACATTAGGGAGGTTTGACAAACTTCTGACTTCTTATCTGGCTATGAGCTGCAGATATCATATATATGAGTAAGATGCTAGATAGACATAACTAAAGATTATGAAACTTGGTATCTTTCACAAGTCTTAATGACATAACAACTTGCTTAATGACATATTCACAACATAATATTGAGTTATTAAAAAAAACTGCCACCTCATAAAACAAAAAGTAATGCAATGTCTACATGTGGAAATGTAGGGTTTTAATTTGAAAGGTCACTGTTATAGTCCGGCAATGTTGGAATGCTCATGTATTTCTCTTAATTGCATGATTCTGGAATATCACATTGAATCTATATTTACCTATCAGAAGAAGGGTTATGGTTTTTCTGTGTGGATATGTGTGCATTTGGTCAAAAAATCCTATTTCAAGAACTACAGACCAAATGAGGAAATGGAGTTTGACAAATGAGGTGTTGTTGGATTTATCTCATTAGTAAGAGGGTAAATCAGATTTTAAAAATTGAAAATGGCAGATTTTATAAAAAAAATGTTAACCTTTAAATTCCTATTTTATGGGCTACAGCTTAAATACTTGATGGATTTTGACATATCTCTACAGTATATTCATATAAGAGATAGACCGGACATAAACAAGAACACGTGATCATCGAACACTGTAACATTCGGCAGGGACGTATTAAGAGTCACGCAGTACATATTTTAGATAGTAGATGCTGCTTTGCGTAACTTTGTAGTAAATTAGCACAATTCGATGTGTATACGATTGGTGATGGATATAGGATCATGTGGGGGTGGGGTAAGAAATATATAATGATGTAAATATACATAAGGGTTTCAAAATTTTCGCTTCGATTTCCAGCTTCGGATGCCGTCTGATGTTTGGTGAAATACAGTCGAATATAATCTCAAAATGGCGTTTAAATTAGCCTATAATTATAACAAGGTATAACAATAACAACGACAAACTCAACAACTTAATAAGATAACAAACGAAAACGTCCAAAGAAATATCAAATTGCAATGATGCACACGACATACGTAACACGTCTGAACCTGAATGTGACTCTGACTTGATACGACTGCTCTGCCGCTCGGCATAGGCATTTAATTGCGAATTGACCAATGAGGGCTCCTGTTTTACGTCGAGACGGCGGCGTTTGCGTGAAAATCACCCGAACCTTTTGTTTACATCCGGTCTATCTCTTATCTGAATATACTGTAGAATTATCCTGACAGTGTATGACACTGTGTAGTAAAATTTTATAAAAACAAAATGTAAGATTTTAATCAAAAATTTCAGTTTTGAAATTCTGTTTCTAAGGGCTACATGGGTCTTGGCATGTGCCTCTATTTATCTTAATCAATTTTATGAAATCAAATTGGCTGATTTTAAACGCCAATTTTAAATTTTTATTTGACTGGTTATAGCCAAAACAGCTTGATGGATTTTGATAGTTGAGGAGTCCTTTGATAATCTTGTGAGCCATATGCCATCTGAGTAGATGTAAATATGTAAATTGTGTTAATGAATTCAAACATAAACCATGGACATTTTGAAATTCAAGAAAAGTTTTGTCATTGCTGCTAATTTTTTCAGCATTCTACGAGTTATAAAATTCATTCCACAGGAAAATACATTTTTAAGTATCAACCAACTATTAACATAAAAATTAACAATTATTTTTTAGTGTGACAAGCGGCATCAGTTTTTGTGTCCTGATTTTGAGAAGACACAATCTTGTCCAAAACAGAGATGCCCTTATCCTCATGGTAGAATGGTAAGAAAATATGCCATACTAGATAAAAACACCTTTGCCAAGAAATCTTCCAAAAATACATTAAAGGCAAATGATGCAGTTAAGCAAAAACCAAATTTTTCCAAATCAGATGAAAAAATTGACGAAATAAACGTGAATGTGAGATACTATAATGATAAAAAAATCGATGGAGAGGAAGGTAAAGATGCACAAAAAGTACAAAACGATAACTGTGATCAGATTGAATTTAGATGTAGGCCAAAATTGGGAGAATTGCCATCATTTATTGCGTTTGAAGAAAATAAGTGAATATTTCTTGGCACTGTTTTAGATTTTTTAAGTGATATGTATTTTTGAAAATAAATGGATAGAATAAAGCGTTTTACAACATTATATTTTTTTATTTCATTTAAAATGATACAATATCACAATTAACATTTGAAAGTTCACAGCAATAAAGGTACTAATAGAAATGTTGCTATATTTAACAAATCACACCAGCAATTGAATGACCGAATGTATATATGTATTTTTAGAAAATTCTCTGCTTAAATGGTGCCATCAAAGTGAAACAAGATTGATTACAAAAGGTGCAAAGCAGTGTTGTAATAGACACAACAAAACATGTGCTAGTTAATCTTAGAGTGATCCATAAAAACTGTAAATCGGCATTTTATGTGATATTTTAAATTATTGAATTTCAATAGAAAATGAAATAATAATCTTTACTAAAACTTAAGAGTATAGCAAATCCTCAAGGTCAAGTCAGAATCAATTGGTCGGTAACATGTTCTTCACGTGATAGAATATTTGAGTTGTTATTGCTGTCAATTGCCGGTTGAAACCGAGGGTACTGTTAGAGCAACAAAAATAACATAATACGTAATATCTTTGGATAAAGCTTTGAACTATTTAGTGAACGTGTTCATTTTGGTGGGTAGATCAGTACCCAATTTGAAGGTGTATTATATGATAGCAGTACTGGTGCATGGAGAAGCAAAGAATAACTGTTTCTGTCCACTTCACTTGTCAATTCGATCCAATTTGTCAACCAGCAGATCATTTCTTCATTACTTAGATTGGTTGGATTTAGACCTAAAATAGTGCATTTATTTCAAAGTTTTAGCCAGGAGACACTATTTACTCTTTGACATCAAAACTATGATGTAAGTTGGAAAAACAACATTCTAGCAAACCTCAATGATTCATACCTCTAATATAACAGCATTTCCTCAATGCTTCAGTCGGCATGTTATGTACTCCTCCTTCTCTCAAAATTGCCTTGTCCATTTCTTTCAATAAAAACGCTCGTTCTGCTAATCTTGACCTTCTAAACCATCCAATATGTAGTTCATGCATTTTCAGTAGGTGCACCTAAAATATCAAATAAAGGTTGTAGGTGGAATTGGAAAAGAACATTTAACAAAATCGATATGAGTACCTTTCAAAAAAGCTCCACTTTATTTTTGAACGAGTCAAGTTAGTAAGCTGAGCGACTGAGCGCCATCTTGGATTTTTTTTTAAATTGGTAAGCTCATGTGATAGTACAAATTGCATGCTGCCAAAGAAGAGCGTTTTTGTACATTTAATCATTCATAACTAATCATTATAATTTTACAGTATATTAGTCTTGGTCTTTTGGAGGTGTTGTCTGAATGTGTGATGGAACATGGGATATTCCATTTAAAAAAATGAAAGATTTCACAATTTTTAATGTAATCTTACATTTTTCAACATGCTATGCTTTTATAAAAGGTCCCCCTTACTTATCCTTATACTTATCTATCTATAAAGTGGTGAATATGCGTTTTTGTACATTGAGTCGTTTATAACTCTACAACCAATATTTTTTATACCAGAGCAGCCGCGCAGGCAGAAGTCTAAATGCCAGGACACCGCGGCTGCTATGAGGATCCCAAAAAAATTTTGTTAATCCGATTTTTGAACTGTCTAAGGTTGGTAGAACTGGGAAAAGCTTCCTCTTGTAGATTGTTCACAATCTCGACTCCCTCGGAACAAAGGAGTCGTATCGGCCTGTTCTGGATATACGAAGTTCGACACGGTTAGTATGGGTGGTCGAAGTCGGACAGAACTCGGCCATCGCTCGAAGACGGATGAGCACTAGGACGCTTTTTGTCTAAGGTAGAGTACTGTGTTTTGGAAGCATTAAACAGTACAAGATTTTTGCGCCCCAAGCAGTGATAACCAAGAGGTCTCTCGTTACAGAGGAAGTTGCCGCTAGTCTTTTCCAGCTCGCCGGCAGAGATAGGCTTGTCGCCCTGAATGCATGCATGTAGAATGCTGTCATCAGCTGTGGATTGGGTTGATCATACAGGAAAGGAGGTCGTTGGTACATATGTAAGAGGAACAGTGTTGGAGCCAAGACCGATCCCGCGTTGACCTCGTGGGATGAAGAGGAGGATAGCCCGTCAATTACGACAGATGTCTTGCGGCCAGAGAGAAAGTCAGCTACCCATCGGAAAAACTTATCTGGGAGGCCTGGAATGCTTTCGTGATATCAAGAGCAACGACATGAGCCTCACCATAAGACTGGATGAGTTTACTCCACAATTGCGAGGCGTACCTTACTTAGAAAGCTGATCTATAGGCCTGTAGTTGTAAGGTCGGTCTTAGTTCATTTTTTGGGATTGGATGGACATGAGCAATATGGAAGAGACGCGAAAGAACTGGAGCAAGCTCCGGTGCACACCTCTTCAATACAACGGCAGGAATCAAGACGGACCAGAAGCTTTGTTCATGTCGAGCGATAAGAGCACCCGTCTTATGTTCTTATGCCTGAATGTTACTTCCCGCATAGTGTAGGGAACCCTTTGAATCGACGGCACTTGGGCGTTGGCAAATTTTTCCAGGGATGGAGGGCAAATCCTAAAAATCAAAGTTGTACACAAAATCATGCTAAATCTGCAAATTTTATGATCCAACCAGATTCCCTGGGGGAAGCATGGCCCCTCCTGTAAAATATGTTCCAAGTCGGAAACCAATCATCATCTTGAAAGGTTGTCTTCACTACCTATGCAAGGGCAACCAAAGCTTATTCTAGAATACCTCATTTTTTGCACTCAAGATAAGAGGTATGTCTTGAACATAGAAAAAGATTTGAGTTTTGATAAACATTAAAAAACCCTTGGGTGTAACTTTTTTCTTCATTATCGATTTTGTTAATTATACAACACAAAAATTAATATTTAAAGAAAAAAGTAACTTACTACATGGTTCCTACTGAGGTACAGCAAATGATAAGGCTCACCAGTGAACAATGGCTTGCATTTAATAACTTCCTTAACACAAGGATTGGCCCCACTACCTATCTTCCCTAAAACTTCTCCCCAATGGTAGTACAAAGGGTGAGACTTAAGATAATCTAATTGTGTTTGTAAGTGCCTAAATACAGGTTTATTGTGAATTAGTCTTTTTTTCAAATACAAGGTACCAAATTCTGATTTTTGCTGCAATGACCAAAAATGTGAACTAAGCAGTTGTTTTGGAAACATATATACTAAAGGTAGAAGAATGTAGAATGCAAATGGTAATGATGAGAATAGCAGTATTGGAGCTACTTTTCTCATGTCTTTAGGCATTTGGTGATACAACTCAATTTCTCTTCTGAGTAATTTAGAGAAATCAAAGTTTGTTTTGTTAAGGATTACTACAATGCGAAAATATTCTTTGGTGTCTTTCATGAATTCTTTAACTCCATCCACAAATACTCTATATACTTTCATAGCAGCTGGAAACCGCTTTTCCAGTATCTTGTCATAATTCTTCAGATATTCCCAATATCTATTAACAGCATAAACTCTGATTTTCTTCGCCTCTGTTTTGTAAATTGATTTCCTATGTGTTTGTCTAATTTGTAGACATAAGCTAGAAATAAAGTACTTATCTTGGATATACGTTTGGATAAAATTGATTGAAAAAATGAAAGGAGCATTATTGTCAATAGAATTTAGATATATTACTTGAAAATTATAATTAATACCTGTACTGTAAAATAGTTATTTTCAATCACTACTAAAATTCCTATAGAATTATTTTCAAGCAGTCCTCCACGATAAATAAGCAAAATTAATTACAGGTATGAAATATGCTTTGGATTTTATTTATGGGTGAATATATGGTATTTGGGATTTCAATGTTCCCCAAAAAATCTTAAACAAGTTATGTAAAATACTATGCTTTATTGGAACATATGATGAAATTAAGGTAATCGTTAAGATTCAGGGAAAATATCTTTGAAAATTAACAAATGTATACTTCCTGACTTGCACTACAAATATCAACATATCCCTGTATATATGTGTTACAAGTGATACCCATTATAACATACTTTCGTAAAAAAACACAACAAGTTTGCATAAACACGTAATTGCATAATCCAAATGGAAAATCAAGAAAAGATAGTTTGAAACTATCGCGATTTAGCCTACTATGACTAGGAGCACGTCAGCTGCTGACATTCGATTTTATTGGTACTTTACTGAGACTACGTAAAAAAAAACGATTCTTATATACAAAAGTTGTGAATCACATACAATGATATAACAATGTATATTAATATTTTTTTCGAGGTCATGTATGTTTTTGTCACTAGTCTGGCGCATTTCTCTGGCAGTTTCATGTTGATTATTTTTCTTCTTCAGCTTCCTTTTCTGCTTTCTGCTTTTTGCCATTTCTTTACAATAAAAATGCTATAAACAATGAACGCAATGGCAGCGACCCGCTATCAAAAAATGCCTTGCTTCCAGACACAATCATAAACCCTGAGGGGCTGTCAGCTCTCAATCTATAAGATTTTCTCGGTTCAAGATCAATTGAACTGAAGAAGACTTATTTTTAATCCAGATCTATTGAACTTATTTAGTATTCACATTTGAAGTACCTTTCTCATAGTTTAAATGTCACCCTCTGTCCATACTTTCCCTTGGTCCCTACACGAGCTATGCACAAACTTCTTGGTAGAGTTAAGCTCAGGAGAATGTCTGTCCGATGAGAAGACTACAAGAAGGCATTGCAGGAATACAAAAAGGAGATTAGAAGGGCCTCCAGAGAATCCTGGATGAACTTCTGTCAGTGTCCCCAAAAGACATTCCTGCTACAGCTAGACTACACAGAATCATATACAAAGACACTAGAGCAAGATTAGGATCTCTGTCTGATCCCTTGGGAGGTCGTACTACTTCCGAGGAAGGTACTCCGAGGCTTCTAATGGATACACACTTTACCGGTTCCACAGTACAGTGATCAATCATAGAGTGCATGTGGTTGCGTAAGCCCTCAGGGAAGGACTGGCGCACGGCAAGGTAGATTGTTACCTTCGAAAGGATGGTATGGGCAATCGATTCGTTTGCTCCGTCCAAAAGCGCGGGTCTGGACGGTGTATTTCCGGCCATGTTACAGCATGGGCGGGATTCGGTTGTTCCTCACCTGTTGAATGTGTTTCGAGCATGTGTGGCCATGGGCTTCACAGCTAGAAGCTGGCGGCAGGTCAAAGTGGCATTTATTCCTAAACCAGGCAGAGTTAGATATACTGGCCTGAAGGATTTTCATCCAATTACCCTTTCATCTTTTGTGCTTAATACATTGGAAAGAATAGTCGACAACTTTTTGAGGGATGGCCCACTGGAGAGGTGTGTCATTCATTCCAATCAGTTTGCATACCAAGCTGGGAAATCGACTAATTTGGCCTTACACAATCTGGTCGGTAGGCTGGAGAAGACTCTAGATCAGCGAGAAGTGGCTCTCGTAGCCTTTTTGGACATTGAAGGTGCATTTAATTGCACTACAACAGACCTTACCAGACATGCCTTGGTTAGGCACGGGGTTGGATCAATCCTGGTAGATTGGGTCCTATCCACTTTGGAGGGTCGGGCAGCAACAGCTATGCTGAATGAGGTAAGCTGCAGCGTTAGCGTTGCTCGAGGCTGCCCGCAGGGCGGAGTTCTGTCACCCTTACTGTGGTGCCTCGTGGTGAATGAACTTCTCGTTATACTCAGCAGTGCGCGTGTCTACGTGCAACGATATGCTGATGGCTCAAGCATGGCAGTTAGAGGTCTTTTTGGTAGAGTCTCTGATATTATGCAGGGCGGTCTGCGCACTATGGAATCGTGGTGTGGGGAAGTCGTTCTTTCTGACAACGTTGGAAAGACCGAGGGGGACTAGATTAGTTCTATCCCAATCAGTAAAATATCTAGGAATTATCCTGGACTGCAAACTGAACTGGAGAGAGCACGTTGAATTCAAGGTTAACAAGGTGTGGGCTTGCAGACGCGTTGTCGGTGTAAGGTGGGGGCTTAAACCCAAAGTGGTTAACTGGCTCAACACGACAATCTCTCTTGCACAGCTCCTTGGTTTGGTGGCCTTGCATTGGAACTGAGACAACTAAGGCCAAACTCAATTAAATTTAGCGTTTGACCTGTATCAACATTACAAGCGCAGTGCAGACAACGCCATTGAGTGCAATGGAAGCCCTGCTGGATCTCCCACCGTTGGATCTAGCGATCCGCGGAGAAGCGAGAGTGGTCTTACACCGACCGTGGAGTCAGGGCAGCTGGACCTTCTTGAATCCTGACAAGGGTCATACTGCCATCTTAGTTGAACTGCAAAGGGAGGATCCCGTCCTTCTGAGCAGGTGTAATCTAATGAGGATCCCTTGTGTGAGTGCTGTGGGGTAGGGGAAGAGAGACTGTGATGCTCTTAGCTACTACAGGCAGACTATATACTGGGGTCCATCACTTTGTACCCCCAGGACGTTAAGGCCATACTCAATTTTGTTAGAATGGCGAGGCTTGAGGTCTAAGGGATGTAGAGGTGCACAAGTGCCCATCTAAGTGGCCTATGTGCTGGCTCCTTATGGTGGATGCTATGCCTCCAATTTCATGTGTCATTCATTCATCAACACATGTAAGAAAGCAATATAAGTCAGCTGAAAAGGGAAGGTCATCACCACATGGCCTAGCAATGGTGACGCAGAAGGTCATGTAATCTGTCGCGTTGCCAATATGTTACACCAGAAAATGTTCACACAGCCATCTTCAATAGGTTAGGTTATTGTAAAAGACAAGAAGGAGGTATATTTTAACAATTAGTTTGATATTTTGTTTTCATGACTTACTGTTTTAATGTATTTTACAATTATCTTTGATTTCCACCGATGCTGAATTTTTATTACATGTTGCGACAGCGAGCGAACCGAAAATACGCCATTACGCAATACAAATTATCACTGCCTACGTGTACGCAGGTGAAAACCATTTCAAGGCAGGACGACACTCTCCAATGAGCACTAGCTGGGTACTGACAAAAACCACTCATCTATCATGGAGGTGGAAACCTTGCTTTGGAATGTACGAGATGCAGTGTTGCCAAGCGAATCAATGTTGCAGAATTTGTGGCAATCCTGACCTTTCATTTCGGCCTAAAATGTAGCAGATTTGACACAATTCACAAAAATGTGTATGCTCTAAATATAAAACCATTATGAGAATGAACTAACACATATTTACAACATGCATCTTAATTTAAGGAATTGGTGTAAAATATCGGCAATGCAGTTGGTTGCCGCGTCACCATTCCTTTGCAGTGATGAGCTTCACTGTCCAGCCGGTATCTAGCTCTTTCTAACATGTGTCTATACATACTTCTCTCACATACACATTAAACTTAAGTCATCAGACAAATTTGGTTCTCAGTGTATTTACTCTTATAGATTCTAAAATTGATGTAGTATACAGGGTATTACCTAATTGAATGTCAATATTTAACCCGGTAAAGTGGTATTTCTGATTTTAATAATTTATACTTGAAAACCTTACCATGTTGTACCTCAAAAGTTGAGACGTTTAGGACACACGTTCATATCCGGTTTTCTTCTTAAAATGAACCCAAAAAGCGCTCCCTTAGATATTGACATTCAATTAGGAAACAAATGAAATAATATGAATATTTCAACATAAATCTGGAGAAGAACATTATAAGCGTCCCATCTAGAAAATCCACTGACCGCTGTATGAAGCTGACAAAGTTACACAATTTAAGATTTTGAAAGGGTACTTACTGATAGCTGTTTATCACTGAGCCCCCCATATTTCTGTTGACATGCATGATGGATGCTAGCAAAGTCCTTGAGAGACTCATTTCTCTTTGTGTAGATGTATTCTTGCTGTTTATGTTACTCCGTTTATGGACATTTTGTTAAGAATTGCAATAACCACAATAAATGAACAAATTATGGTCAAAAGTTGACATATTAGGATAATTAGAGGTTAGGTATTTTTAAAAATGACGTTCGCCTTATTTGTCGCCAAATCTATTTTCTTAGGGTTAAGCCGATCTCAGACTTTTTTTGGTATTGTCCGACGTGTAAATAGGAGGATACAGCCATTTTTTTAGCTAAATTCACCACTCCGCAAGGGTTTGCTAGTCACAAGTACAACATATAATAATAACGGCTTTATATATAATGATAAATTATAAACAGGCGAAGTTTAGTTTATGTAATACATATAATAGCGCTGCAAAAAGGGCCAAAGGTTGCCTACTTGCTTGGCGGTGTCTCTCCACCACTACTTGTAACGGGTGTTTTTTTTGGAGGTATAGAACTTTAAATTGCAATAAAACAACGATGGATTATTCAATTGACATGTATTTTTTTACTCGAAAGATAATCTTGCGGCATTACATTTTAAATATGATTTCTGGCATATGACTGCCACGGCTGGCTCGGATGTAGTCCAATCTGGACGTCCAATTTTCGATGACTTTTTCCAACATTTGTGGCCGTATATCGGCAATGACATGACGAATGTTGTCTTCCAAATGGTCAAGCGTCAGTAGTGGCTTATCCGCATAGACCAATGACTTTACATTACACAGAAAATAGTCTAGCGGTGTTAAATTACAAGGTCTTGGAGGCCATTTCACAGGTCCAAAACGTGAAATTAGGCGGTCACCAAACGTCTTTCAATAAATCGATTGTAGCACGAGCTGTGTGACATGTTGCGCCATCTTGTTGGAACCACAGCTCCTGGACATCCTGATTGTTCAATTCAGGAATGAAAAAGTTAGTAATCATGGCTCTATACCGATCACCATTAACTGTAACGTTCTGGTCATCATCGTTTTTGAAGAAGTACGGACCAATGATTCCACCAGCCCATAAAGCGCACCAAACAGTTTTTCTGGATGTAACGGTGTTTCGACATAGACTTGAGGATTAGCTTCACTCCAAATGCGGCAGTTTTGTTTGTTGACGTGGCCATTCAACCAGAAGTGCGCTTCATCGCTAAACAAAATTCGTTTATGAAAATCGGGAACAACGGCAATCTCGTTCTGGGCCAATTCAACGAATCTACGCCTTGCTTGATGATCGTTTGGCTTCAATTCTTGCACGAGTTGGATTTTGTAAGGACGCAAACCAAGATCCTTTCGCAAAATCTTCCATAAAGTAGATGGACACAGATCCAATTCCAGTGCTCGATTGCGGATGGACTCATTCGGGTCTTCTTCAATGCTACGCTCTACAGTTGCAATAGCGTCTTCTGTACGCACCGTACGGCATCTCTGGGGATGCGAGTTATCAATTAGAGTAAACGTGGTGCGAAAACGTTCCATGGTTAATCGAATTAACTGCTCTGATGGACGATTTTCTCGACGATAAAATGGACGTAGTGCGCGATACGTATTCCGCACAGAACCAATTATTTTCAAAATAAAACTGCACAATTTCCAAGAGTTGTTTAGGCGTGAGTCTATTCTTGATGAATTGCCAAACCAAACTAAGAATAAATAAATCATTTGACAGCTGTCAAATGGGTGGCCATCTTCAAAAGTAATGCCAACTTAAAGTTCTGTACCTCGAAAAAAAAACACCTGTTACATAGCAACTTTATGGGAATAGTGAAATTTACGTAGAATCTTTGATTTCATTTATACAACCTTCAGAGCTCCCCACGCTGTGAGACACTGTGCAGTTATGTAGTCACGCAGTAAAATCGCCGCAGGTTTGTTCCCCTCGGCAGACGAACTGAAATTAAGCTAACAGCATGCTTTGTATAGTATGACGGATATGCATTATGCTAACTCCTGTGTCGCATGAATTTAGATTTATAGAATCACAGTTATAGTCGGCATGTCGAGCAAGTTTCCCGGTAAAGTGAACGTGTATGACCGGTCTTAATTTCATGTCAGGGGTGAGAGACAGTGGAACGGTTTTAATTATTTGATGTTATGGTTATGTTTATTATTTAACTCTTGTCCAATTCCATGTCCTAGAGCGTCGAGTAGTTTCTTTGTGACGAGAATGATAAAAAATGGGCGATAAATTTTCAAACAATTACCCTAACAGCTATCATCAATTATCCAAGCAAATTCAGCAGAGTGAGATGCCATACTACCCATATCTAACTATACCTATAGGTAATACATTTTCCCCCAATTTTCCTGAAATGCATTCGAATTTAACTGCAAATACTCCCCGGAATCAAGGCATGGCTTCAAACATGTATTTCGAGCAGCCTGATGCTCAGAATTGGGAAAATAGGGCATTACCTGATGTTGAGAAAGTGATAAAGTTACCTGATAAAATTGAATTGATTGAAATATCAAGTAAAGATTTGAGTCCAGTTAGTGTCGATCTCATTTCCGACATATGTAAGGCAACTAATAAGGATACAAATGTAGTCACAAGATATGATAACCAGTGGTACTATAATCAAAGATGTTATGAGTACTCATCATGTGCACAATTATCAAACAGTAATGTTTCAAAATATTGCACAGTACAGAAAAACCAAGAATATGATCCATTGATGAAGAGCTGCAGCTACCCTGATAACATTTATTCTCAAAATAATGAAAGTTACTTTAGGAATGTTGAAAGCAAACCTGCACCAAATGATATGCTGCAAGACTATAATAATTATCAGTATTATGACAAATATCAAGAGAATGTCAACTTATTCCCAGGAGAAAGTTACTTCAACCCTGCTCAACAAATACCTTTTGAGCCCTCTATGTCACAGCAAACAGAAGAATCAAATGAAAGTGATATTATTGTGGAAGAGTCTGATGATGATGTTACAGATTATAGTGAAGATCAAGAGAAGAGAGTTAACATAATTTCTCATAGATGTATAGTTTGTAATTTGGTTTATGCTCCACTAGGAATTCAGTTTTACTTTCTCACAAAAGACACTCCTTTAACTATGTCTAGTCAGATTCCAGTTATTAGAAAGATAAGTGGTATAGTTGGTAATATCCCTAATGATGTACATAGTTATCTCTGCAGTGAATGCTTAGGGCTTATTAATACTATTGATCATCTTGAGTTTAGGCTTAAAGATTTTAACCAAGAACTGATCACCAAATTTGAGAAAACTTGTGAGATAAATGGTAAAACTTGTCCACCAAAAGCTAATGCACATGTGAAAATGAGAAAGAAGAAAGTACACTTTCAAAAATATAGGTGTAAAATATGTAAAAAAGTATTATGCTTCAAACAGTACTATCTGTATCATTATAAAAAACATCAGAGAAAAATATTATGTGAGCAATGTGGTAAAATATTTTCTAATAGAAGTAAGTTTAATATTCATGTAAAGAAGCATAATTTGATAAGCATTCATAAAATAGACTCATTCAAATGTTTCAACTGTGATAAAAATTTTAGAACTAAATCGAACTTGAAAGAACATGAAAACTATTGCACAGGTGCATATCCTTTTGACTGCAAATATTGTGATAAGAAATTTGCATCATCTACTAAATTGAAGAACCATGTAAAACTGAAGCACGATAAAAAGTTTGTTGCTATCTGTTCTATTTGTAACATTGGGTTTATAAAAGTTTCAGATTATAAAAGTCATATGGTTACTCACAGCACAGAGAAAAAATTCAGTTGCAAAAAATGTGATAAGAGCTATAAAACTGTTAGTAATTTAAATTTTCATATGAAAGTTCATGAGGAAATATTACCTTTCATTTGTAGCATATGCAAAAAAGGTTTCATGAGAAAAGAGTATCTTGAAGCCCATGTTAGTAATCATAATGGAATTAAAAATTACAACTGTACTATTTGCGATAAAAAGTTTGTGTCTCAAAAGAACCTTGATGCTCATTTGAAATACCATGATGGAACTTTGGTAAAACATACATGTAATATTTGTGAGAAGAAAGTAACAACAGGTTTTGAAGAGCATTTAAGAATACATAGTAATTTGAAAGAGTATGAATGTCAATACTGTGATATGAGGTTTAATACTAAAGGGACATTGAGAAAGCATATTGTAAAGAAACATCCTAATGACAAATAAAGTAGTAACTTTTTCTTTCTGTTTGTATTTATCACATTTTTTGAACCATCAATTCAATTGACTTGATTATATCACATACATAATATGTACATCTATTCAGTACATCGTGATTAAGTACAGATACAGTATACTGTAAAGACTGACATCCACTGTCGCTCCAAGGGGTCAGTTCTTGAAATGAGCGAGTTGAATAAATGATAGAAAGTGGGCTTGCTTCTATAACCTTTCAGGGAATGGCAGTTATAAACAGTGATAAAATAGTCGCTTTCTGCGTGATTCTCCGGGGGAAAAGTAAGAGTCTTGCCATAGTCCATTGGACTCATATTTAGACAAAGGGACATATTATTCTGGGGGAAATGGATGTATTCACAAACATGTCAGAGTTTGGGACCATTCTATCCTCATTCAGGAATCCCCAAATGGCTTGATGTCACGTCACTCCATTCTTTAAGTGTTTTATTTCTCTAGAGCCTTTCAGGCAGATTTGAAATGGAACATCGCAGTCAACATTGGAGTGATTGATTATTCACTCAGATACTCTACACCTGAAGTAGTCAAGTCTCTGAATTCGCAAACAATTTTTAACGTGCTGTATGACAGCAAAAAATTCCGAAGTTTTAACGTCCGTGAAACACGTCACTTACTCTTCAAAAATGACGCCAAGTCGATAGAGACACACTATAAGCAACAAGATACGGAACTTGAAGGGTGATTAAACGTGACGCAAAACCTTGAAAGCTTGACTTTGGAACTTGTCAGTTGGAGGCATTGAGCATTTGTGTTCTTTGTGTGTACAACAATCACCTGTCACAAAATCGATTTTTAGTAATTATATATTTTTTTTCATCTCCTAACTTGAACAGAGGATCATGTATGGCTTAAATGGAAGGTTGTCAAACCACAGTATCTAACATATTTTGCTTGAGAGTAGCACGGGTTTGTCACGGATGACAAAACACAAACACTGAGCTTCACAATTGCTATATTCATACTGTGGCTAGCAAAGCACTTAAATAGCGGATAGCACATGGTGTAAATGGGCACAGAGCAACACTAACGCACCGAACAAGAATTATCAGCAGTCGGTGGTTATCTAAGCACTTGGCTTTGTAAATATGGCCAAATGTATACAGCAGTGTTGTTGCATCAACTACTATGGTTTGGTTAACTAGAACTTGATAAACGAATTTACACCAGCTATTTAAAAACCAGATCTTTAGTCTCCGAATTATCACTCTTATGCAGAAATAACAATTTTTTTATTATATTTTTCAAAATAGCGACTGATTGGATTAAAAATATATTCAACAAACTAAGTTAACAATCAATTTGTTTCCATAGATGAATCGGATTCCTCATCACTGTCATCATCACTTTCACTCTCACCATTTTCCTCACTTTCAGAATCCGATCCAAGCCATTCAACATTTGAGGTATCATCAGCTATTATTGTCTTCCAACCATCCAACTTTTTGAGATCTATCGAATAAAAATCACTGAATGTGATCTGCTTATCTCCATCTTCAAACATCCCTCCATACAGATACAGTATGCTATGTTTGATAGCCAATCCTGAATTGATCCTTGGTGAAGGTTGGAACATTATTGGACCACTGTCACCTTCAGATGTTGAAGCATAGTTTGGTGCTGATGGTGCAGGTCCTACTGTTACTTTGAATACACCATCATCTGCTATGGTTGTGGCTTCCACTTTCTCTTCAATTTTTTCTACTTCCATATCTAGATCATTTTCTCCTGAATGAGCAATAAAAAATAAATCTATGTATCAGCTGTTTTCAAGTTTAGATCTTTGAAATGAAACAAAACTCCTCTACCTATACACAATTATATTTTTGATAGATGAAATGAATTGTATGCAACAATCACAATCTATTTTTCATGGAATATGTGGTTTATTTTCTCATTCTGCCCGTGTATTGAAAAAAGTATTTGAATTTTGTACAATGCAAGAGAACTCATTTAAATCCTCTGTATTTTCCAATGAAGAAATTAATCAGCAAGATTTTTTTTTTAGTCCTGAGACCAATAAAGCCTACATTTAATGTCAAACTATCTGTGGTAAATAATATGATCTAAATCTAACCTCCAAGGTAGAAATAGAGCCATATTCTAAAGACCTGCTGTAGAAAAACATTATATCACGGTAAAAGTTATATATAAGTATAATCCATTGGAAAATTTTGTTTTTGCTACAGGAGGCAACTTTCCTACTTCTCATTTATAGGAAAAATATTCCTGTTCTATAAAAAAAAAACAAAAAAACAAAAGGTACCATTATGAGTAACTTGATGACTATGTTTAGAATTAAATATGTACAAACAAGGATCAGTGTCAAGCAGCATATTTACCTTCATTTTCTTTCTTCCTTCGGTTCTTTGCTTCCCTATCCCGTTTAACAAGTGTAACACTCTTCCAAACAAGCTTTTCCAAGTCTAGTTGATAAAAGTCATTGAAAAAGTTCCCAGCTATGTTTTCTTCATCTTCCTCAATGTCAAATACACCTCCATAACAAAAGGCATTCAGACTGTTAGGTGTCGGCACTATAGGCATACTACACCTTGGTGAAAAATGTATGCCACCTAGTTTAGTCTGAACCCATTTGTATTTTGTCCCTGAAGGGTCATTCTCTAAAATATACACACAGATTTTTTTTGTAAAAGATCACATGATCATTGAAGTAATGAAAAAATAAGTATACTGTGAAAAATGTGTCAAATAATGAATCAGAAATTCTTTCACTAATGTCTTAATTTCAAATTTTACATTGTATTGTATTAACAGATATTTCTGTGAAAAATGAGTGAAATATATGATTAAGCACCAGAGATATAACATTTATTTGGGCTTTTATGAAAAACACATTTTTTCATGTTACTTTAACCCCTTCACATCCAATACTCCACATATGGATATTTTGAATATGCTCTCTGGATACCATAATATCCACATATGGATATCATTGTTAATGGCTTATGTTATGGAGCAGGGAACTGGTATGGCGAGCTGCTATCAATTACACCGACTGGTATGGCATACAAGCCATCCGCACCCAAATTTCTTCAATATCCAAAATATTTCCACAGAAATATTTTTACTGTTAGTACATAAGTAGTCACGCTGGTACGCGGTCGTGTATGCCTCTAAATTACGTTTTGGCGGGAAAGTCTGTTTTATCGTGTTTCTCAGTGTTGTTTGGATGTAAAAGTTTTATTTATCAAAAATGAATGTCCAGGACTATTATACAGATAGTGATGACGATTCGGAGTATGAGTTAAGTGATAATTCGGATATGAGTGACTCTGACGAAACATATTCGGAGACCGGTGACGATGAACTTGTCGAAAACGTGACCATGGACGAATGGCAAGTTTTAAGTGATCCTTTTTCCGATCAGGTTCCTAGAGCTACGCAAAATTTTTCTTCTGAATATACTTTTCACCCCGCCATTGATATGGAAGAGTGCAGAGATCCAGTCAATTGTTTCGAATGTTTTTTAAGCCCAAATATCGTAGCGAAATTAAGTGAGTGGACGAACAGAAGAGCTGAAATGTACTTTGAACAAAATACAAATACAAGGACAGTTTATGGCGTTCAGTGGAAGAAACTAGAAAAAGAAGAGATGTACGTTTTCATCGCGCTTCATATTCTTACTGGATTAGTAAAGTGCCCTCGCATAACAGATTACTGGAGTAATAACATTTTGTGCGCTGGTCCAAAAGTTTTCAATAAGTCTATTATGAGTCGAAACAGGTATCTTTCTATACTCAAGTTTATTCGGTTTTCGCCACCCGAAGCAGCAAGAAACAATGCCCCTCTAAGCCGACTTGGAATTTATATGTCCATGCTCAAAGACAACTGCAAGACGTTGGTTGACCCTGGACCAGTGTTTGCAATAGATGAACATTTGATGCTTTATAAAGGCAGATTGCACTTTCGTCAATATATTAAAACAAAAAGAAATCGATTTGGCATAAAACTTTTTGCAATGTGCCCAAGCGCTCCACATTTGCGCGGATATACTTGGAACTTTTGTTTGTACGTAGGGAAAGACAATTTCAATGTATCCCATATTCCAGGCACCGGAAACCTCACTGTTTCTGATAGAATTGTCGTGCATTTAGCTCAAAATATACTGAACAGTGGCCGAGAAGTTATTCTAGACAATTGGTATACATCCGTGCGGCTTTCGCAATTTTTACTTACCCAAGGAACCTATTTGACTGGAACTATAAGAAGCAATCGTGGAGTTCCCGCTCAGTTAACTAGAATTCCACTAGAAAGGTACCAATCCTGCTTCGTACGGAAAGACATGCAACTGCTTGTACGATATAAGGACAAGAAGGATGTTTACTTGTTGACAAGTAAGCATAGTGCAGGGTTTTTTGAAAAATCTCGCTATATGGTAGGCGGTAAACAAGTGCATTTTAAAAAACCTGCCCACATTGAATTTTATAATCAAAATATGGGCTCTGTTGACGCTGTCGATCAAGATCTGGAACCTTACAATTCTTTACGAAAAAGCTATACTTGGTTTACAAAAGTGGGCTTTCAATTAATGCTTCAGATGCTTCTAAATTCTAAGGTTTTATTCTGTAACGCTAAAGATGATTTCAACATTTCGATGTATGACTATATAAAACTGTGCTGTAATGGTATTTTGCACAAATACAGTGAAGGATATCGCTGCATGACGGATGCTTCTTCATGTTATAATCAACCTTCAACTTCAAAAAAAAAACACAAAAATAACACGTTATGGTTAATTTACCAAAGGAAGATGGAAAAAAACGGACATTGCGAAAGATCTGCGTTATTTGCCGAAAACACAACCAAAGGAAACTAACACGAAATATTTGCATTGAGTGTCCAAATAAGCCAGGGCTTTGTTGTCCGGAACATTTTCAAGAATACCACAAATGAACTTTATATTTTAAGCGGTTTACCAATGTTACGTTCTACTAGTTTATTTTATGTAAAACATATGAATAAAGCACTTATGTTCAAAAAATGTGACTTTGATTTATTTTTACATGGATATCCAAATATGGATATTATGGTATGCCACTATTATCCAAATGGTGGATATACTGGTATAGTCATAAAATATGAATCACTGTCGCCATGTTGTTTTTGACTTTCATGAAATATTTTAACTGTGGTTAAAGATGTATGTCATTATGTAATCTTAATATTTCATTTTCGATTTTTTTTTCGTCTGGTATGTGAAAGTGCCTTTTTAAATTGCACCTGGATGTGAAGGGGTTAATATTGTTATTGATGAAATAAAATGAAACAAGCTGTGTGTAAGAGTCAGGTGTCATCATTTTTTTTTAATTTAAATGTTAGGTTGCTACTGACATATGATAATGTTCAAATGTCTGCTATGTCTTTCAGCATAATAGTTCTTGCCCATACAATTTATAATAATTGTTTTAATCTTATACTTACTATCAGGGGTTAGCAGAAAGGAGTCTGAGTACACATGACCTTTATCAACATCCTTCTTGACCCTTTCTTTGCTGTAGCCACCATAAATTAATATCCTACCATCACTCAGTGCTACCATGCAACACCCTGACCTTGGTTGAGGGGGTGTTCCACTTGGTTCTATTTTGGACCACTTATATGTCTCTGTATTAAAGCAATACACATCATTGAAATACTTGTAGTCCCTTAAGTTATCATGGAAACCACCAAAGACATATAGTTGCTTCTTAACAAAAACCATTCTGTGTCCACTTCTAGCACTTGGTCCATTTGGAGCTGTGATCTTTTCCCATTGCTTGGAGGCCAAGTGCAAGACCCATAGATCTCTGTAGTGGTAGAATTGTGATTGTGTTGGGGAGGCATATTCTCCACCAAAAATCCATAGTTGGCCTTTATTAGCAGAAGTTACTACCATTTGATGGCCACATCTTGGAGGTGGTCCTCCTGGGGCTTTGCATAATGTCCAGGTGTTTGTTGGGATATTGTAGAAAAACAGGTCATTGTATACAAAAGTCTGGAACAAAAATGTGGAGCAGTTAGGACAACATCATATTTATCATACTGCTGTATATTCAAAGTAGAACTATGTTGGCTTCTGCAACCTTCATGTTTGTGAATTTTAAAAATATTGGTTTTTACCTTTTGGCCATTGAAATACTCTCCACCATACAGGATTAGTTGCTCTTTGTCAGGATGTGCTACAAAACTAAAATTTAGTCTTCGAGAAGGTGGACCTAAGGTCACTTCTGTTACTTGCTGACTTTTTTTCTCTTCTTGTTCTATCTGTGCGACTATGCTTTCAATATCATCCTTAAATTAAGATTATTTAGGTGGTACATGCTGTATATTAATAATGATAAAACAACATACTTCACCAATGGCTTGTAACTGTTTCTTCATTTTGTTTGACAGTTTTTTATCTGTTTTTACTTGTGTCTTCTCGGCCCCCTTTCCTTTCTTTTTATCCTTATTTTTCTTTCCCATTTTTGTGAAAACGTTTGAAAATATTGAAATGTTTTATATTTTTAGGTTATATTTGAAATTTGAGGTTAGGATGATTAACATCCCGAAAATTCAACTTGGCAATGCTGCCAAGCGTCGAAAAAGTTGGTAGATTTCACACTTCACACGATTTGGCTTGTGGGTAAAAAACGAATTAACGATAGACCGTGGTTCCAAAATACATTTAAATATGGTGACACAGTTTCAATGATTCAGTTATATTAATAAGATTTGTATCGAACTTTGCGTCCTTCCTTTCACATTTCTGCATAACTTGCCAGCAAGGTATATTTTCTAACGTCCAGAAAGTTTGCTTATACTCAACAAAAGATCAGAGATCGGGTCTAGCAACTCTATAGGTCTATATTAATCGTGTCTCTATGGTCAGTGATACAGAAATACATTTAATAAGGAACTTCTGTAATATTTCGAGCATCATATATGGCTTGATTAGCTACAGCCATATTGATTTCCGGCAAAATGACTAAAAATACTGCATGTGGAAACGTTATGCGTTAGCGATCACTTAATAATCTATTGACTTCCATTACTTAAGCGTCAACCTGGAACTCAAGGGAGCTCCAGAATGCGGTTTATGGGGGCCCTAGTGTAGGTAAGGTTTATGTTCTCAAAATCGTGATGCTCAGTACGTAGTACCACCCCCCCTCCCGCGCTCTTCAACTATTACCAGAGGAGGTCTCGTACGAATTTTGTGATTCGGCTCAAGAGATCCTTTAGATTACACCCACCACTTGCGATAATGTTTATGTATGCGCTATTCTCAATTGCTAAAACTCTCTATTATAGAGCAGTCGTTAACGGAAAAATAATTCTTAAATGTCAGTCATTGTTACGATCGAACTATAAAATAAGATCTGGAATTTCGGTCAGCTACAACGATTACGGGTGCAAAAACATTATCAAATTAAAAAGTTTTACATGTTTCGGTGTTGCTTTGGAATCTTTACCTTTTAAAATATAACGTAAAACGTGAGCAACACTAGGATTGTCTGACTGATCTGTGAAACGTCTTCAAGGATCGTCTTAAGCCACTTTCGTATCGACAGGCGATCGGTGATGTGGACCTCATTTACCGATATGCCAACGGACTATGACACTTCTATGATGCTGTCGCATTGTGATATTTCCTGGATGCGCGATCATAGCGCCACCTTACGAGTGTCGGATTGAAATGAAAATAATGGACATTTAGTCAGGTTGAGGTAAGGAACGAAATGTAAATTACAAACTGTTAATATTATTTTGATTTGACACTACCATATGCATTTCGCTCCTGGAAAATATGTCAATCAGATAGCTCAAATCTATACAATAGTTATTTCATCAACGTAATGATATATAAGTATACAGAGATATCTATAGAAATTGGGTAGGTAATCTTCGCAGATTTTTCCTATCTAGATCCGCTCCTGGAAGTGGTCTATTATCTATTCATGGTTATGCTTGTTATTCCTAGATGAAATAAAAAACTTAAAATGTGAATTACTTGGCTATTAATAGGAAAACTGCCACCGCCTACCCGTTGTTGAGCGGAGTCAGAAGTTGGGTGGAATTTTCATCATTGACGTAACTCCATGAGCTTGAGATATTCTGGACAAAAACATGATTTTTTCTTTTTGGATGCCACCTGTGGGCGCCAGCCTTTTCAACAACTAACGATTTCCAGAAAGTGTGGTAGTAATATTGACGGGCGCTGCCTCATAGTTATAACCTTTGAAGATCACCAAATTCGGCGATAGATCTTCCTTACGATATGTCACAAAGGTCAGCTAGTTCATACCAACATCCTTTGACTGTCTCTGTCCATGTGCGGTCGGCACGGGTATCTCGTATCTTGAAAAGTGACATTATGCCGATTTGTTTTTTGACATTATGCTGTTTTTTGACATTATGTAGGGTTTTATACAAGATATTAACTTAGCACTTAGTTGTACGTGTTGCCTAAGCGTCATGAGGCTTATTATCAATCTTTGGCTCCGATGCGATGTGAAATCTACTTCTGAGACGGCATTAGAGTCTAAGCTGTAAGTTGTATGTGTTGATGATAATTACATTGGGTTCTTGTCTCAAATACACTTAATTGAGATTCAAAGCTAGAAATTAGTTGCGCATCCACTTTTTCTTATCCATTATTCTGGAAATTACATATACAAATTTGCTGAATTTCAAAAATGAGAGAGATAAGAAGTAATTATATTCGCTGTACACCTGTCGAATTACAAGCCATATACATGCTAACAGTTATTACACACAACGCGGGCGCGGTGATGAATTCCCGTAATTCACCTCAGTTTTTCGTAATTTATAACTTTGAACATAACCTCTCTTCAGAAAGCACAACATAAAAATAACCCGTCGGGTACAGTCAATAGATATACTTCATTGGCAGCATATTCAGTAATGATTTTCTCACACAGCAAATATTACTGATTTTATACACATAATCATCCAGATGCTATTCAACCAACTTTCTTCTCAGAGATAAAAACTACCGACAAGAACCATTTGGCTTCACAAAACATATGCAACCAATAATGCGTGTAGTTTAGTTGAGTGATTCCTCCTTAGATGGATACGTTCACAACGATCCTAGTGAGCAAACGTGGAATGACTGTTTGCGCCCTAAAAACTACCTAGTTTGCAAGATGACATCTTATTTTTTTTTTGACGTTTTATAGGTTTTTTACATGATACCCGTGGGGTTGACTATGTGCAGTCCATCGACCCCGCGGGGTTATTACGTAAAAAACCTATATGTCAAAAAAATCAGTAAAATGTCAACTGAGCACTAGGTAGCTGCTAGGATGCCGCTAGTTCATTCCGTGCCTACTACAAGTGAGCATGAAGTGAATATGAGCTATTTCAAAGGTGACATTTTATGGGAAAACCTACATAATGTTACGAGGTGTAATGTAACATTCGCATCAGGAATGTACGCTGTGTTCTTAAAATCGGTGTAACAAGCTCATTTGAACTCTACGTTTCATATTCACCAGCCACTCTCAGTCAAAATATGTCCGACAACGTGGTTGTGTTGAGATCTTTGATTCTATTAAAATATTGCTTAATCCAAATTAAGACGTAACACTAAGTACTGACTGCATGAATGCTCGCTGTGTAACATGTTACATTACATCTCGTAACATCGGTCAGTGACCACCGTTAGCTGCTTTCTTATTTTTTTTTGACATTTCGTAGGTTTTTCTACATGTTAACTTAGCACAAGTTATTGTACACTTGTTGTGAACTCGTTTTGTTGCTGTACGTGTTGCTTAAACGTCAGTGAACACCAATCATAGCAATCAAACGTGGAATGAACTATTTGCACACTAAAAGCTACCTAGTCTGCAAGATGACGTTTTTTCGGTTTTTAACGTTTTTTTTTTTAGGTTTTTCACATAATTTCCGCGCGGGAGCGTATCACTGTCAAACCAAAAACCACTGGAAAGCAGCTCTTCTAACCGCGAATAACTTGAGAGTATTGCTAAGATTTCGATTCTCACACGATATTACTACTATGTCAATTATGTGGAAATTTTGTAGTTTTTGGAAATCGGTCCAGTGGTGGTGCAGATAAAGTCAAAAACAAAAAGGAATAAAAATTGTTTAAACATAGTGACATTTCAGAAAATCCCGAAATTCCTTGAAAACAAATTTAGATGTAAAATATTGGAGTGGAGGTTATGGGTTGTAGGGAGAGTTTAACTCAATATTTTTATGTTGATACATTTATACTCTCCCTGGTATGGTATTACACCTATTTCTGCCACGTCACGCCAGAGCATAGTAAGCACTTTTGCTTACTATGCTCTGACCGCGCTGCCACGTAATTGTATGGACCTGTCTGACTAACCTTTTTCTCAGAGTGTCTTAGTATGTGCTGAACATAATCCTTTATGAACTGATAACGGCGTTGCGTGGGAAGTGCTGAGTCAACCTACTTGACGCCATTTTTTAAGTTACGCAAAACGGGTACTGGTCTCATTCTCGTTTTAAGCTAACGACTGAGACCTAGTGTATATTCCTCAATATCTACAAGGTTTTGTTGTGGACATGCATGGCCCGATTGTAGCCTCAGTCTCATAAGCACAACTGGGCTATCCGATAGTGAAGATCAAACATTATTTATATTTCCGTTTCATTGGCAATTTTATGGAAAATATAAGTTAATAATAGGACCCTCCCTCACCAGGACGACCTATCGATATCTCCAGCAACCATAATCAAACTAACTAATTAAAATATACGTCAGCTCCTTGACGCGGCGTCTGTTTGGTGGTGTCTGGCGTCCCCGAAATATATTTTACATGTACAACCCCATTCCCCACAATCTTAACGTCCGATTTTCAACCCCCACCAAAAAAGTTCTGAAAATGAGCAAGCGCTCTAAAATGTCGAGAACCGGGGTCTTGGTAGTTCTTATCCGTTTATTTACCCGTATTTGGTTTTCTAAAATTTAGCATTTACAGTACCTCCTTATCAATTCGACCACTCCAACGAAGACTATAGTGACTCAAAAATCCTTGCTTTTGACTTACTATATGGTATCTATAGACTTTATCGAGTTATATTTGGTGGATGAATATGGTATCTCAGTCATGCAACTATAAGCAACCAGTAAATCTTCTACATCATATAGTAAGTATAATAGTGGCGGTTGCTCCCGCGAAAGCTATATCAAAATCAGCTACTTTAGTCTTCGATGCAAAAAATCACGGAAAGCCTAACTAACTGTTAGACCTACTGTCTGACATATTACTATGATTTTCGCGGCATAGTTTGAGGTTACTGTAATTAATAGCGAAAACTTTTCAAGTATTAGCTGTATGAAAAGAGCAGTTTTCAAAGAGAACTAAAATGAACTCAAGAAACAAAATAATTCTGGCAGATGCAAAGAAGCTAAGTGCAGTTGCTGAACCGTTAAATTCCTAAACACAACAAAAAGGTTCAAACATAGCATCCTCTTCTGCAGGTCATGCATTGGGATCTGTTGCATCAGTCTGTTTCTCTCATGCCTGTAAATTAAAAAAGTTTAACAGATAATTCAACTACTTCAGTCCTCGGTTTTGCTAAGACGGCACTCTCGTGTTTCCTTTTCATTCTTTCATCTCCAAGTCTGGACTTGATACAGACCTATATTACAGACCTATATCGTACTGATGAGGGCTACAGGCCCGGTTGGTCGTGGATCCATTAGTTTTAAATAAAGGGTAAAATCTGAACAAAGACGATTGTGGAGAAAAGTTGAAAATAAATAAGATAAGTGCTTCGTGAAATGAAATATAATGATGATTATGCTGATGATCTCGCGATAGTAACATTGATTATCACAGAATGAGACCGCAAAACAATACGCTTCAGGAACCACCTTTGATGTGCACAAGCTTGCTTCCAGTAGATGCTAGAAAATTAAATGGCTTTCTATGTAAATCAAAAGCAAACAGTCTTCCTAGCATTTCTGAGGTTTACCTGCTTTTCATTTTTCTCTAAAAGCCAGTGAAGATAAAATACAAAGATGACCTAATATTAACATTGCTGAAAATACAGAAGTTGAGAAGGATGATAGTTGAGATCACAAAGATCAGTATAATTTGAGTGACTCGGATTGGCATTAAAGAGGTTTTTTCGACCATTGTTTGAAAAATAATGTAGTATTTCAATAAATATCCTACTAAGTATAGAGCAAGTTTACTTTTTTCTTTAATCGATCCAACGAAAACTATAGTAAGTCAATTAAATTGATTAAAAGAAATTGTCATTTTCGCTAGGTTTGTATTGTAATACCATTTATAACCTTCTATATACAAAAATTACTGCAATGTGCAACATATTTTTGATGAGATCATCATTTTTCTGACAACGAAATTCATCATAAAATCTTCTAATGCCTGTATCTCAGTTCAACCAAAACTGAGTTACAATAGTCTTCCTTGCAGAGGTCGAATTGGCGTGGGAAGGGAAAATATTTTATGTATAAAGTTCTTCATAAAAAATTGTTTTCCATATATGGAACGTTCAACAGTTTAAGCCGCCAAGGACTTGCCGCATCCCTATCCGTAATGTAATAAAATCTAACTTGGAAAGGCGACACAAACAAAGCTGGAGTATTTCGGAACCTGTGTCACCGAATGTCAACATGTGTGCTTTGTAGACGAAGGATATATAGCGAGGAAAATTGGAGAAAAGAGCTGAATAAATTGCATCCCCGTCGAATCAATCAACATATAGCGCAGTTACTTTCGTAACAACTTAGAAACTAAATCAGGGCCGTTTAAGCTATGCGCTAGAGGTCCCCTGGCCCACAGTAAGCTCGGAAGCTGCAGATGAAGCCACCCTAAGGCAGAACGAAATGCAGGGCCCAATTTTGCCGTTGGGGAAAATTAAAGAGCGGCAGGAGGACCCTCCATCAAGCCTTGGTCCTGGGCATATAGGGTTAAGACTGAATAGAATAAAATAGGTTGTTCATTAAACAAGAGAGCAGGAGGAATTTAGGAGAAAATGGATCTCTGAGCAGAGTGGACAAGTCCTAAATTACACCCATACTACTCGCTTCCTAATGGGCACTTAGGATACCTGAGCTTTGGAACCGGTGCAGGTTCTCGGTGTACCCCGTGTTCAGTAGTGGGATAGGACGATAGCTAGATCTTTTGCTTCAAACGCGAGGCCAGGTTGCGATAGAGCGGCTAATAGCCGGCGATCCAATTTTGGGGTTTATCATGAAGGGAGGCTTAATATACTATTATACAAAAACAGCTAGTCAGTTTTCGATCATATTTTGGAGTGCATATCTGCAATATCGTCAAAAAAGTGGAACATAACTTCTACTAGTTCTTGTTTATCTGCACAGACAGTTATTTGATATATGTTTTTTTTTGTTGGTAATTAAATATGATAAATGCGTACGGGCTTTGGATTTAGCAATATAGTGCCATGTACCAGTTAGCATGCGGCACAATCATGGGAATATTGGTTTGTTAAATCCAGCGGACTAATTTTTGCGATATATACATACTATACATACATGTGAACCCGAGACAGTGGATGGTTTAAAAACCAATATTTGTTGTGCCTCCAAGCTCTTGAAGGTTGATCGAAAACTGGGCTTCTTGACTGCGTTTTCTTCTAGTATTAGTTTTCTAATGCAGTACTGCAATTATAATATTCATGAAAACAACTTCCTTTTTATTAATAATTTAGTCACATTAATTTATAAACATCGTGAATAAATTCTGTTGATGTATGAATAACTGGCAATACCAAGTGGCCCGCACTATCCTAGACCAGAGGTAACCGGCGATTTAGTATCCGGGATGCGTTGTTATGGTAACCAGTATCAAGATAAAAGGCTCATCCATGACGTGGTCGGCCACTTGTTTGGTTCTTTTGCAGTAATGCAACAGGTGAAAATGTGATCGGTGTGAGTTATCGAGGGGATAGGAAAGAATAAGGAACGTAGGTAAGTCGCGAAGCCTAGAATTTGATTTCTTTTGGAACTACTGCAGTCTAGAATGAAGCTTTTCAAATATAAACTAGTAGATTTGATATCCGCAGATTTCTGAGATATTCTGAAACTGACAAAACGGGACGAAATGATTTTTCAAAGCTTGGTGGCAATAACAAAATACTTTCAGATATCCAGTCAACCTATGTTCCCGTTTTATCTGAAATTTCTAATACAGTGGGTTGGTTGACGATGTTTATGCCGCGAAAATTTTGTTTTTAAAGAGAAAAAGAAAGATGGGGAACTATTTTCTTTATTATTTTGCCAAAAAAGTAATTACAGTAACATCAGAGGTAGCGAAAGCACACAATAAAAATCTGTTTTCAGCAGTGGCTTGATATGTTTTTGTGTTTTATTTCTTTTTACGCATTGGGCTAGTGTTAAATATAAAAAAGTATGAACTTTTTTTAGTTTTCTTCATTAGCTTTAATGACATACTTTAACGAAAAAGATAGAAATATTTTCAAATTGGTTAAAGAAGTAACATTTTATTAGTTCTTAGGACAAGTGCGGAAGTAGGTTGGCAAAGTGATTTTCATCCTCATCCCACACGATGAAGATGACAGAGACACCCTTACGTTCTCTGTCTCACAACCGATCAACGTTCTGCGCTAAGCACAATTTTAACTGGTCAGAAAACTAAGTATTCATAGGGAAAACCAACAATGGCCTTCTATGCATATATCCATAAATGGACACGGCTGAAATAAACATGTTTGCTTTCAGCCTCTGTAACCATGGCTAATCGCAGGCAACGCTGTTTCGTGCTCATTAGTAGCTCATCGGCGCGGTATAGGTCTTGCTCTTTTAAAAAGCTCAAAACATTTTGCACAAGCACGTGGGAAATCTGACAATCGCCACCTACCAATGGTTTTCCAAGCTCCTTTTATGAGTGCATTTCCTGTCATCTGTATCGAATGGTATTTGACAGCCATATTCTAAGCTAGCGTAGTATATTACTCATGTGTGCAAAACTTCTATCGCTTGTGGCCACAAAAAAGTGGTGTCAAGTCGGTTGACTCTGCACTTCCCAGGCAACGCCGTTATCAGTTTATAAAGGATTATGTTCAGCACAAACTAGACCTTTTGTAGAAAAAAAATCAGTCAAACAGGTCCATACAATTAGTCCATAGAGATTTTCCCTGCCCTACCGGTAGTGAATCTGGAAACATCGCCTCTCCCCGAGACTTGACTCGGCCAGACGTGGCAGCGCGGTCAGGGCATAGGAAACGCAAGAATAACAGAACACCTATCAAGGCTGGCGGCACGACGCCGGGAGCAGTCACCGCGGCTGGTGCTTACGCGATCCGTCTGCCAAGAATCTTTTTAATGGCTAATGTACGGAGAATTCTATGAGGTGTATATAAGTATACCTAATAGGTGCTTAGAATGACGAAGGTTGGGAGCGTATAAATATACTAATATTGGAAAATTGACACCTCCTACTCCTACAACCCCCCGCAAGTATTTGCCCCTAAATTTTTGTTCGAAAATGACTAGGATACTCTGAAACGTCAATAAACGAAGTTATAACGATTTTTCTGAAACGTCAATAAACGAAGTTAGAACGATTTTTACTTATTCCGTTTTAGGCCGTTTTCTCTGCTACCACTAGACCGATTTTCAAAAGCTACAATGATTTTGCATTCTTGGCATAGTAATAAGATTGTTTAAAAATTTTATCGAAATCCGAGCGGTCCTTCTCAATTTATAGGCGGTGATAAATAGACCGGCGGACATGAGTGACATAGTTTTTCGTGTTGTATGTACATGTCATATAACACCCAAGAAACATAATATCTTATTTACGAAAATTTTCACGATTACAATACTTTTCTGCCAGTTTTTTAACTTTAAAGCTTGATGAAACTTTTCAGAAATTCATATGTTGGTAAAAACTACACCCAGATCACGAATATGATCTCACTTTTCCTGAGATCATTTGGAGGCCAGGTTTAAATCATTTTACAACTCTAAGTATGGCTCCGTGACCTAGAGCTTTCTAATGACCATATCTAAAAGCATCGTCCCCAATAACTTGAAGCCATATCATTGAATTAAGTCAGTATTTTGTAATGTTCGGAGGAATGGGGACCCGCAGTAATTTTTCTCAGGGCGGGCGATCATCGGAGAGAGATAACCTTTCGTGAAAGTATACCTGCCTCAAAGACTTTTAAAGAGCGCTGTGTAGCAAATAATCGCAAGGGGGTAGGCAGCAAATCCAAAAATCCCCAAAATTGTACAAAAAATCATGCTGAATATGCAATTTTTAAGGTCCAACCGGGGCCAGGGCCCACTTATGAATCGGAGGCACAATTGTGCTTCGGTAAGGGCAATCCTTGAAAACACGCATTTTCGACTGACTTTAATCAATTCAATCTCCCTGCTTTTCATCATAGTTATAACAAAAGAATTGTTGCCCTCTTCTTGTGCGCAAAAAGTAAAACACCCTGATCCGTACGCAAGACTACGCACTATATGCAATAAGAATACACAAACGCTCTTATCCAATATTATAAAAGTCAAAGTTCAGACATTAATTAGTTTTGACGGATGAGCGATAAGCTGATGTCGAATGCATTATTTTTGAGATAAATGGGCAATACACGCTTGTTTAAATTTTAAATAGACGTTTTCATAAAAAATGTCGCTATTTATTAGTGGTAATAAAGTAAGTTCTAAGGTGGGTTCATATTCTACTAATATGTAATACGATATATTTGTTTAATAGCTATTTCAGTAGTTTCTTGTTGGCTACCGTACGTTTGGTTTTCCTTGTTGTAGGCACTCCAATCAGTGTGATGGTACATACCCAATTTTTACTGTATTTTCTTGCAAATCCAACAGTTTGACTTGGCTTATTTTGTAAATGAAGTTTCACAGAAGTACAATAACATCGAAATTGGAATGTTAGTAACAAAAAGCTAATATTTGATACTAACACATCTATGTTAAACAATAACTTCTAATTCTGTTGAGTGTAAATTTTTCGTTTTCCAATTGTTTTGCAGAACAAGAGCTACAGTGTAAATATATCATAACTATTAGATAATTTGTGTTGGGTATAGATCAAAGGAGAATAAAACATGGACAAAATAACAAAAATGTTGTATCGTGTCAGAAGTACAAAATACGATGATTTAGTGATTTACATGTATCAGCCTACAGATCCTTCCAGCTTAGGTATTATTCGATTTCTGTTCGGTAAGTATAGCAAATAACTATTCAACTTCGAATTAATGTTGAAGATTTGGAGAATTGCATCATTATACTATTGATGCTTTCGCTTTGAATATAAAATTTTTAGGATTCCTAATGTTGTGCGATTTGCCAGAAGAAAGAGGAGGTTCTGACATTGACATAAGATGGGGAAATCCAAAAGATTGTCACTTTCCATTATTTCCAGTCATGGTTATACCAGCATATCCCTGGATGTGTCTCATATACTTAATGATGTGGGTAGGTGAGTCTTTACACCTTAGCTGGGTGTACAAGACAGAACTAACCGGGGAGATTCCATTTCCAACTGATATATCATGATCTGACCGAATTCACAATTTTCTTCTGCCATTCTATCTAGAATGACTGATAAAAATGAAAAATAGGTTCTTCTATACACTGGTCGCTGACTTGTCGGTGAATGTGTCTGTGATCCAGCAGTTTGAGTTCCGTCTATACAGGGTGTTTCAAATTTGAACCTCACCATTGGAATCTCGGACACTGTAAGAGATGCGAAGTCAACTAAATGGGGGCAAAGTTGCGTATTTAGGTAATCAACAAAATGCCGCTTAGAAAGTTTCGAAATTCAAAGTACCACCGGAGAGAGAAGGAAAAAACAGAATTTTCCTAAAATCGTTTTAATCCTTTCTCGGCTTTATGTGTAGTAGGATTTCAAAATAAATTGCACATTAATATACATTGACATTGCCAAACTTTAGTTCTTTCAAAGAGGCAGAATTTCCTAGGTAGGCCTTGAAATCAGTTTTAGCTTTTCCTTACTTTATTTGAGATGGGATTCCAAAATAAATTGGATATCAAATGTTCAATTCGACATTTATTCTTTCGACTTCCATCTCGAACATCGTTCTTTCAAATAACGCTATATTGGAATTTTGTACATGAACATCTAAATTAACTTTTCAGTCCTAAATTCAGTGATGTATTTCCTTAGTTGGCCGTGAATTTGTTGTTGGATGGAAATTATAAGGAAATAAAAAGGTATGGTGAAACCTGACTTTTCTCTGTACATTGTTCACTGATCGATTTATTTCTCAGTCTTAAAAACTCTGTTGCTAAGTTCAGTTTGAGGTCTGGTCTGGTGTACGAAATAAATGAAGGCCTAGTTAAGAACTTCTGTTTTTCAGGAATAACTAAAGTTTGCTAATGTCAATGTATGACATTATACATTTTTGAAATCAGAATTAAAAACTCTATCTGTGCAAAGATTTAATATGGCGTCCTCAAGAAAAAAATAGTTGATGCTGAAGGACAAGAGACGAAACGTCGTATTGAAATTCTAGTTATGCCATTTTGTATAGGAGAAAAGTAGCAATGTTAACGTGGGATTTATTTTAGAATACAAATACAGTCAAAAAAAAAATTAAAATGATTTTGAGAATATTCGTTTTTTTCCGTCTCTCCCCGGCAGTACTTTGAATTTCTATCTTGTCAGTTACCTAAATAGGCAACTTTGGCCCCATTCAAGCGACTTGCCAATGGTGCGGGTCGAATTTGTAACACCGGGTATAGAGTAGCAGAGTGAACGGAATTTGTGTGGCGGGATCTTGGACCATGTTGGCGACTGCTGTACGAACAGGACTATTACTCTGCTACTAACTCAATAAATCGCTATTATTTACCGCACTGTCCTATTGAGAAATAGCATTTCTCTCTCTAGGTAAATAATTTAAACAAAAAACACCTGGGTAAATTTAAAATTGTAATCTATCAACTTCAGCATATTAGATTGACAAAACTGATCTTTATATTTGGAAATGATTAAGAAATAGGGAATGTTGAGTACAGCTCCTATGTAGTTATTTCTCTTGAATATAATGCTGTAAAATGGCTTTTAATATCATGAGAAGCAAAACATTTGTACCCTCTGGATCCAAATCGAAGAATATGTACAAATCGGCTCCCTGTTGCGTTAATTATTTTGAGTTTGTCAGTTTCACCAGGAAACTACATATTTTAAAGAATCTGTAAAACGAGTAGTTTGAAACGCCATTGTCGTGATGATGACTTGGATATTTTGTAATATACCTATTGTTTACTACTAGTAGTGGAAAAGCTCTAACACTTTTATAAGTCCTGTTCGAACAGTAGTCGCCAACCTGTGTCCAAGATCCCACCACACAAATGCCGTTCAGTCTTCTACGCTATATTCGAGTAGCCGGATTCCACACTCCCGGATCCCAGACGTAGTCACCGACTAGTGAACGGACAAACCCATAATCTAAGGCGCCTACCGCCGAATGATATAATGTTTGAGTTATGTAATCTACTATTTTACCGATATCGCGAAATAACATTTGCGTGTAGTAAGGATTATATGCTCATTCTGGAAATATTTTGTATTTTTAGGAGCAACTGGAATTATGTTAGGATACAAATTCAGGATAAGCACTTTACTATTTGGAATACCATACTGGTACATTCTACTACTGGATAAATCATACTGGAATAACCACAGTTACTTATTCGGAATTGTAACCATTCTGCTCTCAGGATCATCTGCCAATCACTATTTGTAAGCATCCCTGAAAAATAATTTATTGGTAGATTAAGGGCCTATTCGTCAGTCGTTCCTACAATTATTGTAGAACGCCTTTATGGCCTCCTTGATTTTCATAGTTTTCTACTCTTCCGTTTCAGCGTCTAGTTATGTTACAAATATCTATTTGCATGAACTTGTTCATACTTCTGATTTATGTCATCTGCTATATAGCCTGAAATTTCCTATATTTCAAGAAGAAAACATAGCCTGACAAAAAAAGAGCGCTGACTCTGACACGGAACACTAGAAATCTAGAAATATCCCAGACTTTCTGATGGAGAGGAAATACTATGACAATCAAGGAGGTCATAAAGGCGTCTTACAATATTGTAGAAATGACTGACGATACGGCACTAAGTAAAATGCTTCAAGAAAACCCAGAAGCATGCAAGCGTGGATGCAGAAATTACGATCAATTGATATCAAGCTCAAATGACTCGGGCATGTAAGCGCCATTTCATGTTGTGCACTATGATCATAAAGGCTAATCACCGTAATTTTTCCGTACAAAAATAAAACACGAGGCCGCTGTACGGGCGTAACATTGCTTTATCTTTCATTATTATTATTCTATTTTATTATAACGTGAGTTTGAGCCCATTTACTTTTTATTATACTATACTTTCTATATTTTTACTCATTTTTAGCTCATTAGATGGTTACTTCGAGGAAAAAAGAAAGAACCGTCACGTTCCTTGCTGGAATTACTTCATTTTGAAGTACCAATTCTTCATGCTGTATTTTCTAGCTGGATTGAAAAAGGCAGATATGGAATGGTTGGAGGGGTATTCGATGCAATCTTTAGGCAATCACTGGATTTTTCTACCTTTCAGGTAAATATATCATTTGAATCGGTCAGTGCAAATACCTCCTAAGTGCCATAATTTGAATTTTCCATGAGACAATAAAAATTGAGTTACCGACTTATAAACCAATACTTTTTTGGGTTAAGTATAGTATTTGTATTTGAAAAGATTGAAATTTTGATTACTTTTACATTTTATCAATAATAATAGTAATAATGGAAAAAGCCCGAAAAACTGTTATGGACTTCCATTGTTTTTACAGGAAATAGGGTTAATGGTATATAACTTAATCAAAAGAATCATATTAATCATATCTTTAATTTTGCTTCTTCTTCCTACTTTATTTTTTTTATATATTTCAACTACCACGAAGGCCTAAGGCCTAACACCCATTGGGTACCGTGGGGCTATAGGGGGATACAGGGGAAAGGGGGAACGCCACACGGACTCTAGCGAGGGAACACGTGTGCATGCAACATGCAAACATTCTGGCTCCGCCTACGAGATCCGCCGGGTGGTACCTCCACGTCCGACAGTCAGCGACCGTCGACCACCTACGGACACTCACAACATCCATAGCCAAGAGAAAAATTTCTCCTGGGACAGGGCTCGAACCCGCACAGCGCACGGCGACTGATCAGGAGACAGAAGAGTCTACTACTGCGGCCACCGCTGCTGCCTACTTTATTAATAAGCTCATGCCTGTTTTACTTCGGTTTTTAGCCTTAATTGATGTTGTCTGACCATCTTTTCCTCGGTCGTCCCATTGATCTTCTTCCATTTGGCGATTTGTCTCTTGCTATTCGTACTGTTCTATTTTCTGTCATTCTTTCTATGTGTTGATTCCATTCTATTTTTCTTCTTTTGGTTCACAGGTTTATTTCCTCTATACCACATCTCGCTCGTATTTCCTCACTTCTTACTCTGTCTCTTAGAGTTTGGTTTGTTATTTTTCGTAAGACTTTCATTTCTGCTGTTTCCAATAATCTTTGTGTTTTCGCCATATATGCTCTTGTTTCCGCTGTCATTATCGGTCTTATTGTTGATTTATATATCCTAGTTTTCATTTCCGTTGTGAGGTATTTGTTTCTCCAGATTGTATTGTTGAGACATCCTGCTGCTCTGTTCGCCATGTTCACTTGTTTTTGTACTTCTTTCTTCCACTTTTCCATAGCTTGACAGTTTGATTCCCAAGTAGTCCGTTTCCATCACTTGTTCTATTATTTTGTTATTTACGACCAGTTTACATCGTCTCGGTTCCGCTGATATCACTATCGATTTAGTTTTCTCTTTTGAAATCACCATGTTGTATATGAGCGCCATATCTTCGAATTCTTTGATTAATCTTTGTAGGTCATCTTCATTTTCGGCTATTATTATGGCGTCGTCGGCGTAGCATATTATCTGCATTTCCTTTTCTCCCATTCTATATCCTCTTCTTTTTTAACTTTATGATTTCATACATTATCAGATTAAATATAAGTGGGCTCAGCGAATCTCCTTGTCTAATGCCAGTTTCATACTTGATAGGTTGCGAGAGTTTTGCTTTACATCTTACCATAGCTATGTTATCTTTATATGTATTCTCAATAGTTTTTACTAAATCCAGTGGTATTCCCCTGTCATATAATAAATGTGTCGGGTCCCAAATTCTCACTCTATCAAACGTTTTCTACAAATCTATCAGGCACATATATGCTGGTTTCTTGTATTCCAGCGACTTTTCTTTTAATTGTCTTATTACAAAAACTGTATCCGTGCATGATCTTCCTGTCCGGAATCCTTGCTGTTTCTCTTGCAGAGTTATTCGTTCGTTTATTTTTGTCGCTATTATTCTTGTTGTCAATTTGAGTGTTGTATTTAACAGATTTATTGCCCGATAATTATTGGAGTCTTTCTTATCTCCTTTCAGCATGATCGCTCTACTCCATTCATCTGGTATTCTGTTCGTGGTGATTATTTTTTTAATAAGGAGTTGCAGTTGTAATCACCTTCATATTTTATGAGTTCATTTGGTATTTGATATTCTCCTGGTGACTTTCTATTTTTTAATTTATTTATTCCTTGTATCACATCTTCTTGGGAGATTTCAGTCTTTTCATCAGTTATTATATTTGGCGTTTCTGGTAAAGATTCTACGTCTTATTTTTCAAACATTTCTGTCAGGAAGGCCACCCATGTATCCTTTTTTATGTGTTCTATATTTCTAATTTTGCATGTTTTAATATTTTCAAGGTATACAGGGAAAACTCGGGCACAGCAAACACCGGAGGATGTCGGATTTCTCATTTTGTATCTAAACAATGAATCGACGATTGAAAAACATGCATAGATTGATTCAATAAACGGTAGGCGGTTGTAAGACAACACATGTGCTTATTTCACTACCAGGCATCAAAATAGCGGATAAGGCCTGTAATTTTATTTTTGGACTTAGTTAAATTACTTTCCTAGTAGGTACTTCCACGGACGAACCCAATAGGTTAATTTTTTAATCTAACGTATTAATTAAATAAATTAAATTATTAAACAACCTGCAATGAGTGCGACTCTGCAATAAATGCAAGTCGTAATGAGTGAAAGTAGTGATGGGTGCGAGTCCCAACACAATAACTTTCTGATTAAGAAAATTATGTGATATCAGGCATTTTTGCGTCAATACGTATGGACTGGCACCATGAGGTCAACCGGAGCTAATGCGCCATAATACCTACTTTTAACGGAAAAGCCGCTAATGTTACAGTTTCTGATTGGGTATCTCTAGATTTTTTAAAGTTTATTGTAGAATGGGATTTTACAGAATCTCTGCCAAACCTTATTATTGCACTAAAATTGAGGTATGTTTTACAAAAACAACATATGTCCAAAATACAAAATTATCAGGAAACGAATAACTTTCTTGAATACTTTTTTGTTAATTACTATTAATAATAGCAAAAAAATATGCTCTTCACTATAAAAAAATGTGTGCTTAAGTAATCAGATGGAAACAATTAAAAACTGTTGGTCATAAGTTGTTTATGTAAGTTCGAAAAATATTACCTTTATTTCAATAAAGAACAAAATGAGTATATAAAAACGGATGAATAATGATAAACAATAACTTACCTAATCTTCGCAGCTACTGCTATTGTCGTGTTCTTCAAAGTCGGAGTTAGGTGTATTGTTATCAAGGATACCTTTGTAGTACTCTTTGTTAGATACGAAGCGTAGTAACGGTAATAGCAATTATGAATTTTCTGCTTTATTTGCTTTAGAAGGAAACGTCTCCTTTCTTCGGAAACTTTAGAGAAACACAATATTTTCAACTAGAACAAAATAGTCTTCCTCAGTTTGCCCCATATTAAAACATTCAACATCAAACATACCTGCAGGGCTAACCAGTTCTACGTGCTGTAACAGGATTGCCTTTATGGTTGATGTGTTCTTTGCCAAGAGCTTTTAACTGTTTTATCATTGTTTCACGCTTTATTTGACTACTTAAATCTTAGCATTTATGTCGTTTTTGCAGAATCTTTTTGGCGGTGTTAAAATCATCCTTTTTTGTACTAGATGGTATCACTAACTCAATTTCGTTAAATTTGGACTTTGCGGTTTTTGTAAATCACGCCTCAATTGTTCATGACTTTGCGTGTCCGTAGCTCCATGTGAAAGGATTTTCAGTACGTCAATGGCCCAATCGCGGCTTAGCTTTCTAGGTATATTAGACATCGAACACGAGACAATACAAAATATAAATTTTGATGAAGTTATTTCTGAGTTTGCAGCTGTCAAAGCTAGAAAGAAGAGATTTTAATTGTAAGATAACAATATTTTGTCTGTCTTAGTTTTTATTGTGTTTTGTTATTTGTTCAATGTTTTGAATATGAATATGGAATGATCCATGACGTTTATAAATCATATAAAATTTATTGCTTTTGACTTTCGATGGGGTGACACCACCAACTTCTGCACCGGGTGCCACCCAAGGTAGCTACGCCACCGGATACGTCAGCGAAGGCCCACTTTAAAAAAAGGTGAAAGTGTCAATACAAATGGCAATGTACGTACATTCACCATAATTTAGACAACCTTGCACATTGTCGGCAGGCTTGATTTTTCGTAAATAATAATAGATTGCGAGAAAATATGTATTTAAAAACGAATTTCAGAGAATTTCTATTAGGATTATTTATAAGAAAAAAGAAAAGAGATTTTGAGAGTCAAGAAAATGTCACAAAACTTGGACAAAGCGCTAGTTGTTCATGGTTCAGGGTTCAGCAGGAAGAGGAGATGGGCATATATGAGGATTACCTTTCACCGCGATTTTCTGTCGATCGTAAATACGAGAGCTGAAGGTGACTTGGAGATATTTCCGGTGCTCTGGTAGAGAAATTTGTCTGCGGCCCACTGCCCGATCCTGTGAATAGTTCAGACGCTGAGTTGCGGATTCAAATGGTGGTGGGGTAGTTTTGTTAGAAATCGGCCCCTTGCTGGTTTTTAGTATCGGAGCCTTTTTCTTACCCTTTTGGGGATTGAACCGTACAGATAATTACTCACAACCATCTAGCGGAGGGGAACCGCATACAGGGTTAGTCCAAGGCGAGTTTGAGTGAGGCTCACGCCTGGGAGAAGCAGAAAACCCTCATTGTTAGAGGGTTCTACCCTCCCGTTTTACCCTCCTGTTTTAGGGTAACATCTGGGGCTTCCTACCAACGGTCATCGCTTGGAGATATCCAAGTTTTTTTTTTAATTTTAGTTTTTTTGGATAACCATTCAGGTAGGGGGTAATACATAAATTCATTCTTGTTAACCTGTCCTCCAGGACTTCTCCTTGATTTTTTTTTGTTTTAATTATTTTTGTTCAATAAATATCTGTGTACCTTGTGAGTTGGTATCTCTTTTAACGTCAGAAACCCAACAGTGATACTTGTTGTTACTTCATTTCCTAGTTTATGGAAACTAGGTGGCGCCCAAATAACCATTGCACCCAAAAACCAAAGTACAAAGAACCTCATCCTGAGGGGGCTCATAGCTACCAACTGAGCACACAGTTTATTCGAGATAACACGCTATAATAATATCCTTGAAGGTTTCCTATATTGTAACATACATTTTCAGATTATTTCTCACATCGGATCAGGTGGACTATTTGATTGTCCATTGGTTTGGATTTTTGTTAGATTTGACCATCGGATTTTGGATGCTGATAGAATCTACGAGACCTGTAGCAATGGTATTCTGCACAATGTTTCATCTGATGAATTCAAGACTGTTTAGCATTGGTAAGAATTGAGAAAGTATCCAAATTCAGCTACGTTTTTATTGACATACTAATAAAAATGTAGAGAAGTTTATATTAGTATAACCAAAATACTTTTATAGGTATGTTTCCTTATGTCTGCCTAGCTACAATGCCATTATTTTGCGAAGAAACTTGGCCAAGGAAGTTACTGAAATATTTTCATATATCAACAAACGAACCTCTACCGACACCTGACTGCATCTATATAAAGGATGGAAGAGGACAGTCCAACAAACAAAAACATGTAACATGGAAACGGAAACTTGTCATCGGTCTGCTCCTTACTCATTGTAGTCTTCAAGTTTTTCTACCGTATTCCCATTTCATAACTCAGGTTGGTTGTGAGACTGACGAGAATCAATATTAGACCAAAATAAGTATAGGCACTGAAATGGAAAAAAATCTCAAGTTTGTTGAAAAAACAACCGCGTCTTAACGTGCTCGAAACAACACCGGCTATAATTATTTTAGTAAACCATTTATTACACGTATTCTACCGGAAGATAGCCTACCCGATATTGATTTACGGCGTCCAAAAATTATCCAAGATGGAATGAGATACCATGGTGTCATCTATCGTAATTTGTCACAGCTGTTTCCCCTCTGCTCAATAATTAAATATCTATTTTGAAAAGGTTAGTGTCCCATAGATGAAATTGTAACCAACTATATGACAATATATCAGCATATGATATGGAATTTATACTCACCTTATCAAAACTTGTGTCTAAATTCGATAAAAACCGATAAATATAATAAAATTAGACTAAATTGTTAAGCAATATAGTACTTTCTTATATAAAAAGATATTTTCCATTTTCCAAAGGATGTGGTTATAATTGATAAAATTTGTATTATCTCAATTTGATTACAATATGTTTAATCTGTTCAAGCAAACACATTTTTTCTCCATGAAATCCTATCATTTCCAGGTATCTCCTTTCTCCCCACAAAACAATTTCTCCCTCTCACTAATAGGGATGGGTGTGGCACATTGTTGGTGTACTTAATCGGTTACATTGGCGCATGGGGATGGGGATAGTCAATTCGAGCATGCTGGCGGCAGTTGATAGACTTTGCGTTAGTTATTTAATTTTATTTTACTTTTCGATATAGCACAATAACCACCCTTGAAAATAATATTTTCCCTATACGTGATTGAAATTTCTATATCATATCTCTAGGGCCCCAATAAAAACTATAACGTCACCTTTTCAAAGTAGATATCTTATTGCTGAGGAATGCCCATTATTTTCCTATTTTCCACTTTCCTTCTTTATTGTGGATTTTGACCATTATTTTCCTATTTTCCACTTTCCTTCTTTTTGCGGATTTTGCCCATTATTTTCCTATTTTTTGTTATATACCTTTCTCCGCATGATCATTTTACTCTTTGTAGATCCTTTGGGTTTGAAGTACCACAGCAAGTGGCTATAACCGGCCGCGTGGTTGTGATTAGATGTCTCCTCGAAAATTCGAGGTCTTCTAGCCATTTTATACTACAATGTGTAGGTTGGCTTTTGTTGTGGACTTCGTGTGTGATTTTGTTTTCCTCTCCATCCTCGTTTCCTCAGGTTACACCCGTATTCGGATGAATGGGGCATGCGTATCTACTTTTGTAGTTACATATGTACATTCATTTCTGGCCTGATGAAGCCAACCAGCATAAATACGTATCGCTCGGGTAACCCATCCTATTTTCTGCTCGAATCCAATAGGTAACCCGAGCGATACGTATTTCTGCTGGTTGGCTTCATCAGGCCCGAAATGAATGCACATATGAAACTACAAAAGTAGATACACATGCCCACACATCCGGATACGGGAGTAACCCGAAGAAACGAAGTTGTGGGGGAAAAAACGACACACGAAGTCCACAACAAGAGCCAACCTACACATTGTAGTATAAAATGGCTAGAAGACCTCGAATATTCGAGGAGACATCTCTCCACAACCACGCGGCCGGTTATAGCCACTTGCTGTGGTACTTCAAGCCAGTCTTTTGCCATTTCTCCAAAAACTCTCTATGTATATTGCTAGTACTCCAGTGGGCTACCTCACAATAACGGTCACGTCAGCCTCCTTCTTCGGCCTCTTAGATCTCGAGCTGAAGACCTTCTGTCCATTGAACATGTGTAGGATATACTGGCAAGAAGAGTGATCTCATTGTCTCAACCTCCACAAGCGTGAGCACTTCTTCGGATCAGATACCCAAGAAAACGTAAATCACCTCATCAGAACCCATTATTGGCGAAATCTAGCGATACCGCAAATTTTTTCACTTCAAAATTTAATCACGAGTTCCTTTTGATAATGTCCAAACGAATATAAAATTTCTTTCAAATAAAATCATTTTACTGGGCGGTTCTATTTTCTTTGTCACTAAGAATATTTGAGCCAGAACCAGAATAGCAAATTTCTAATAATTTCAGGGTTATAACAATTGGACCAAAGGTCTTTATGGGTATTCGTGGGATATGATGGTACACTCTTGGGATACGATTCAAGTAGTCGTGAGAGTGGTGGATAACGAATTTGGAGAACAGTTCTTCATTGATCCTGATGCATGGACTCAAAATGACAGATGGAACAAGCATGCCGATATGTGTGTCCAGTATGCAAATTGCCTCAAGAGGAACTTGATGGAATCATTCAAGAATAACAGTGCTTCAAGTAGACATAACTCAACTACCTATATTTCTATTATTATACAGCGTGATCCAAAAGTCCCACAAAGGCAAGACAGTTGGGAATATTCAAAGCGTATGGTAAAAGTAAAAAAGTAGCATCTTAGGATTTTTCTTAGTATGTTCAGTAGGGACCTTGAACTTAGATTTGACCGTGACCTTGAAGGCTAGATCAAGGCCAAGACGATTTTTTTATAGGCACCCCATACTTTTGACCCCAGAAATGGATAGAGCAGATAATTTTTCGTTCAGATATGACCTTTGGTGAGCATTATTGTGGCCTTGAACGTACTCGTTAAGACCATCGCAAATGAAACAAAACACATTTGAAAATCAGGGTCTTCAATTTGTCCCTGGCTATTTACTGGTGACCTTGTAGCTGGTCACGAACTGGCATTGACTTTAATAGCCAAGAACTTCAAATCCAGGTTACAGCAGTTCTCACCAACAGTCACGTATGAACGTACAATTTTCCGCTCTATTTCCGGGGTCAAAAGTACAGGGTACCAGGCAAACATTATTGTGACCTTAATTTGACCTTTCAGGTCGTAATCAACCTAACATTGTTAGGTTATACGTCTCCAGCTAGGGAAAGATATTCAAGCAGTAATTGCCATGAGACTCTTGTTTACGCTCTATCCTTAGAAACATCCCTGGAATTAAATCAAAAAGGTTTTTTACGGGTATCTTGGATGTTCAAGGTCGGAATAGATTTCACCAGGGGTCACATCTGAACGTGACATATTTATCTCTACACATTTCCGGGATTAAAAGTATCGAGTGCCATTAAAAAATTGTTTCTGACATCGATTTGATCGACAAGGTCGTGATCAAGGTCAGTTACAAGCAGTTAAAATAATTTTCTTTCAACTTCATGTTTGAATGTAATTTTTTTCGATTTATCCATATATAGGGTCGAAAATATAGGTATTTATTTAAAAAATTGTCTCACCTACAAGATTAGCGTCAAAGTCAAATTGAAGGTTACCACTAATTAGTCAGCGGACAATCATGGACCTTTACTATTATACTTTTATCCATTGTATATTCCCAAATATCTCGCCGTTACTGGACTTTTGGAACACTGCGTAGCTACTCAAACAGTGAGAACTTTAGTAAAAGTTAAAAATATTTTCTCACAGCTAGAAAGCAGTACTCCAGTCTCCTCATCATAAACTGTCCAACCCTTTCAAATACACTAAGATTGTTCCTTTAAGACAAGTTACATGTTCGGTAAGGTTAAGCATACTGCTTTCGTCCGCCCGACCAAAGACAGTCAACCATAGACAGCTGTGTCTTGCTTTTTGGCTACTCATCAGCACGGTCTAGGCTTGGTTAATCGTCTCTGGGCAACGAGCCAAATCATATCAACTATTTTCTATCTAGTAGGTACGGCACTATCGAAATAAGACAGCGCAACGTGCCATCTATTGTAAGAATCAACCACTGCGAACAGTGCCACTACCCAGCCATCTGTCGGTCACACTGGTAGTTGCGCTACCATTGCAGACTGAAATCTTTACAGTTCCAACTGCTAGTAGCTATAGACTGTTCGCAGTAGTTGAATCTGGCGATAGATAGCACGTTGCGCTGACTTACTTCGTTAAGGTTGTTGGTGAGTTTTTAATAGGAATCTATGGAGATAAATAGGGTGTAGAAGACCTCCAGTGGTGGAACCCAGGGAAGGGGCACTCGGGGAGAGTTCCCCATTCAAAAGATCACTGGAAAAAGAAAAATATGCAAAAAATCCTTGCCTCAAGGACATTCGTTCTCGGAAGCACTAATAAAGCCATCGCCAGCTCCCCTTCTCTTCAATTTTCACTTGTCGGTTTTTATTTTTTTATTTCATTTCTCTTGTTCCCTCTCACTAAACTAACCTTCTGGATCCGTATGTGAAAAGGCCCTATCCCATATCCGGATTTGAACTCCCTAGATTATTTCCTATACGACCATCTAAGATCATCAGCTTACACTACCACTAGAAAATGTATGGTAACCAAATAAGTTCGTGTGGTTGGGGTATATCGCACATTGATAGGATCTTCGACGGGTTGTAGATGCAGATTCCAGGGCAACATGCTAAGAACTTGCAGAAATGTTCAGAGTGAGTCCTGAAACTATTCGTCTGCATCTTCATCAGCTAGGAAAGACGTGGAAGTTAAGCAAATGGGTCCCACATGAACTGACAAATGATAACAAATTAAGTCGTCTTACGATTTGTTCAGCAAACATTTCACGCAACACTAATGAACCATTTCTTAATCGGTTATTAACCTGTATTCGAATTCTAAGCGTTCGTATCACTGGTTGTCGCCTACCGATTCGGTACCACACACGTCCAAGACTTCCTTGTACCCAAACAAGGTTTTGTTGTGTGTTTGGTGGACAGCAACTGGAACTGTCCATTATGAGTTTTTGGAAAGGGGTCAAACCATCACTGCTAACTTGTATTGTGAAAAGCTTCAACGAGTACAAGCAGCACTCATCCAGAAACAGCCTTCTTTGATCATTCGGAAGTGAAATTCTTGCAGGATAACGCCAAGATTCATACGGTAAAAGTGACCCGAGAAAAAATTTCTGAACTCGGCTGGGAAACGTTACCGCACCCGCTATATTCTCTCGACATTTCGCCCAGTGATTATCACCTTTTTTTGTCTCTTGAGAACTGTATGAGGCACCGACAGTTCACAACAATAAATGCAGTCCGCCAATTTTTTGACTCCAAACCCAGGCATACAAAAATTGGTTCCACGTTGGCAAAAGGTCATTGAATGTAATGGTAATTACTTCGAAGAATAAATAGTGTCTCATTGTTTATCAATAAAAATTTATTTTTCTACTAATAACCGCACGAACTTATTTGGTTACCTGATAGAAGATAGAAGACAAAATAAACCTAAAAATTGCATGATGTACCTAGATAAAAAGTTACTATACTTGAACAAGTTCGGCAGTCTATAGGAAGGAGAATGGAATTTTGACGAAATGATGAAGAAAAATGTTCTACTAGATTTTTCAGTTTTATGTCGCAATATGGTGATGATTTTTTGTTCCACTTGTCCGCAGATGAACAGAAGAGTTCCAGAACGAAGCATCGCCAAATTAGCTCCGAAAACCTGTCAGTGTATATTGATGTGTGGTGTTCTTTGAACAAGCGATTTCAGCAGAGAATGTACAATCCTAACTACGACCTTCTGAAGGCTAAGTGGTCACCTTTTAATCCCGTTGAGTGGCTACTGCCTGTCCTCACTGAGTATAACAACTTTAGAAAGACGATGAATGAGATTGCGAAAAAAGTGTATACTTGGTCAAACGATAGCGATGTCTTGTTTATAGCTGATTTTCCAGGTAAGTTTCTGATGATGCTGTCAGACAGTAGCATGTTAACATATTATGTGAAGATAAAAGCGCGACGTTAAAAGCGCGAAGACAGCTGAAAGCGCGTAGAACAGGCACCTATTTTTCAAGTTAGCGCGGGCTCTAACGTTCACGATGCGATTCCTATAAACACAACGTTTAACGAATACGGACGATGCGGTTCGATTTCATGTCGACGCACTTAGATCCCCATAACAAAATACTGTTGACTGAACATTTCAATCGCGCCAGAAATTGCTCACGCTCAAGGGCGTTGGGAGGGGGACAGGGGGTACTTGCCTCCCCTAGAGACCCTGAAAATTGTAGTGAAATGCAAATCAATAAAATTCATGAGTACACTCACTTAGCGTGCTTGATCGATCACGACGAATTCACCATTTTCATTCCTAGTATAATAAATATATATAATAACATAATTTAATTTAAGTTTCATTTACCGTACAGCGAAGAGCTCGTGGATATTCACACATTGGACTTTATACTGTTCTTATCACAATCACCATACTACACATGTAAAATTTGATGTGCTGTTGACTTTACCTACAGTTTATACATTTCTCATAAATTGTATTTGCCCCCTTCCCTGGGCCATTGGCTGACAACGCTCTTGCCCACGCTGCAGCGTGCTGCTCCATTTAGGCTGCTGCCCCATTAGTGCGTTGCGTTGCGCTGCGTCGTCGCAGCGTCAACGCTTGCGTCGTTTTCCATGTATTTTAGATGGTATGCCACATTAGAGCGCTGCGTCGTCGCTCGCGACGTTTCAACGGATTGCGCTGCGATGTCGGAGCTTCAGTGCGACGACGGACAGTTGTGACGGACAGTGTTGCACTGCCAGAGGAGTGAAGGAGACATACGAACACGATATTTTCGTATCTCAGCATGAGTGTGGAGGAGATTGATATAGATTTTCTCATCTCCTTGGTGCAAGAAAGGCCGATCATATGGGATAAAGGCCATGAACATTACAATGATAAATTTCGGAAAGCAAATGAATGGGTTTCAGTGTGTAAACATTTATATGCAGATTACGAAGAATTTGATGATACAAAAAAGAACAAAATTGGTGAGCTAAGTATATGTTATAGTTATAAGTTAATACGTATTAAATATTGATTTATATCTTCTTCAACTGCCATGGTAAAGTCCCCACGGAACTCATAAAATAATTAGCAAACTGATCTCTGATAAAATTTTCAGCTAAAGATTCTGCATCGATATGGGGTTGCAATTGTGGGAAGTTATTTATTGTCATCTTTTCTTGTTGCCGTAAACCATCGTGTTCTGTGACAAAATTGTGTAAAACGCAGCATGCTTTCACAATATCAGTAGTTAAATCATATGCTGTGTCAAGTGGTCTATGTAAAATACGCCATTTATTTGCCATGATCCCAAAAGCACATTCTACATATCTACGAGCTCTGCTAAGGCGATAATTATAAACTCTTTGTTTCACATTGAGTTTTTGGCCGCCGTATGGACGCATAACATGATTACTCAAACTAAAAGCTTCATCACCGACGAGTACATATGGGATTGGTGGCTCGTTACCATGATCATTTACAAGTGGTTGAGGATCAGGCAATGGTAGTTCATTTCTCGTTAAAATCTGATATAGTTTCGAATTTCTAAAAATAGTCGAATCACTTTCCTTTCCATATGCACCCACGTCGACAAAAACAAATTTATAGTTGGAATCTACAACCGCCAGTAAAACAATTGAAAAAAAATGTTTATAATTATAAAACAGGGACCCACTCTTGACAGGTTTCATTAAACGTATATGCTTCCCATCAATTGCCCCAAAGCAATGAGGAAAGTTAGCTTTACGGTCAAAATCTGATGCAATATTTTGTAGTTTCTCTATGGTGATGTCTTCTATGTACTGTGGCCTGAGATATTTCCATATAGCTTGACAAACTGACGATATAGCTCTAGAGATTGTTGACCTTCCACGTTTAAATTTGAAACGCAAATCCTTCATCGAATTTCCGGTGCCCAAGTACCTGAAATAGAAACAAAAAAATTATCTTGCTTAGACATTATTTTCTTTCCTGCAGGCAACGAGGTGGTAAAAAAATGGAGAAGTGTAAAAGACAACTTCACTCGATATGTAAAAAAATTAAAAGAAAATAATTCATCTGGATCAGCGGCGAAAAAAATAAAAAAATATCATTATTATAATCAGTTGCTTTTTTTAATGAAAGTTGCCCAAAATATAACTGATAGTAGCCTTGATAAAGAAACAGAACAAAACGAAAACACACCATCTCCACTTCCGACACAAGGAGTGCCATCGCTACCAGGCCCTTCTCGCTATGTGCCTGCAAATCGGAAGAGATCAAACCAAGCAATAGATGATTTCGAGGCGCAAGCGTTAGAGGCGTTGCAAGAAAAAGAAAACCGCCATTTGTCGTTTTTCAAAGGAATTCTGCCTTCTTTAGCTGATTTTACTGAATTACAAACATTAACATTTCAAAGTGGAGTGATCAAAATGATTACCGAAATGAGGTTTGGGGAACAGAGTCAATCAACAACATGGCAGTCACGCAGATTGCCAACTGGGCAGCAGTATATATCAACACCATCGGAGTCAAGTGGATATCAAACTGGATTACAGGTCCAACCGCTACCACCATCGCCATCGGGGTATCAAACAGCTGAATACTCATCGAACACTACATTTAGTAACTTTACCGATGATAGCCAGGAAGAAGAATATAACTTCGCTTTACTCTCTAATAATAATACTTAAGCTTATTTGTGCGAAAAATGCCTCTTAGTTAAAAGTAAAGCATAACTGATTTTCTGATTAATATGTTTTTTAATACTTACCTCAATGTAACACCAATCATTTCAATTGGTTCTATAGGTCTTCTGAACTTGGTATATTGCTTTTTCAAATGTGGTTCCAAGATTTTCACCAAATATTGAAAGCTAGCCACACTCATTCTAAAAAAATCGAAAAATTCTTCCTCTTCCGACAATAATTCATTATACTCCCGCATAAAAAACTGACCGTCACTATTTCTTAATGCAATCAAAGGAGATACCCACATTCTTTTATTATTTCTACGTTTCTTCCGGCGGTGGCGTAATAAAAGCAACAATAGAACACGTTTATTCCGATCCATTTTGGAAACTAACTGAGGTGCGTGGCATCGGTGGAGGTGCCAGCGTCGTCCTATTGCGCTGCGATGTCGTGCGTTGTCACAATGCAGATGGGGCATACAATGCGATGATCCGCTGCGACGACGCAACGCAACGCACTAATGGGGCAGCAGCCTTAGAGTATGGATGATTCTACACAAATAGAGAAACTGGAAAATGGAGCGACATGATATCAAACCGTGACACTGACTGTTGGTGTTTACAAAAGGCTTAACGCTTCGCTAATGCAGAGTCGAAATGACATTTACCTTTCACACCATCAACGTTAACAGTACGAAGTTTTTATCGATCGTATTCACCATTGATTAACGTATTCTACCAGAAGATAGTCAACCTAATACTATATGCGCGCGCCCGTAATTATCAGAAATGAAACGAGTTACCATGGCGTCATCTATGAGAATTTGTCTCAGCTATTTTTCATGTCCTTGCAATAGCTAGAAATCTACTTTGAAAAGGTTAGGGTGTTTTAGGTGACGCTGGAAGCCAACTATATGAGCACATAGCTACAGCGCCATCTATGAGACACTATATTTTCAAAGTAGATTTCTAATTATTTGCGGAGAACAGAGACATAGCTGTAATAAATTCTTATAGATGACGCTACGGTATATCATTTCATCTCGGACAATTATTTATGGGCGCGAATATAGTATTAGATTGGCTTCCGTCAGGTAATACGTTAATCAATGATATCACTTAGTAGAATGAAAAATACATGTTCTCCCATTCCAGCCACTGATATAGAACGAACATACTTCTCATTATCAAATAAATAAATAAATACCTATAGTATGCGAACACCACAAATTCGTCGACTTTGTCACGACGCGACGCAAATCTATTGGAAACGTTGATACAAAAAATATTTATTCAGAATGACCTATACATAAATCGAAAATATATTTTGCAGGAATGTACTTAGAAAACTACATCGACGACAATATGCAGAACCTAACCTTGACAGTTCTAGAGGGCAAAGTGGTTTACGAAATAGAGGACGACGATTTGCAACAATCTGCCGGTGTGGTTCTGTCAAAGTACGATAGCATACCCGTGGAAAATGGCGTATTTCATAAAATTCATACAGTTAGCGATACGCCAGCATGCTATATGTATACATATGTCAACTTTGAGAAACGCGATGAAGAGGAAGAATATAAAGAGCCGCAATACAACAGACGATCTTATGCCCCTTTTCCGGTTTTGGAAGACTTCAGCGAAAGAAAAGCTGCAGTGGCGAGAATGTGGAAGCATATATCAGGCGCTATCGAGTATTTTCTGTTCAATAAACCGTATAATATTAGACAAAAGACATAGCTTATACAACACGTTATGTAGTTGCTATTCAATAAATTATGTAGAAGCAAATTCTAGAGTATCTATCAAACACTTGTATCAATTCTACGATGCATCAGCAATAACACTATATCTACATTAAGTACTGGCATCAAACCAAGCCAAACTAAGTGTGGGCTTTGCATGTACGAGGGATTAAGGGATTAAGTTTTGCATATGGAAATAAAACAACACGGTAGGTAGTTTTAAATGACTTTATTGTTTTTCGAAGTATTCTCCACGAACATTAATACACATCTGCATGCGCTCGAACCAATTTTCGAAGGGCTTATTCCACTCGTTTGCTGGCAGATCCAAAACGGCATTTTTGAATGCGTCAACTGCTTCTTCTGGTGACTGGAACCTTTGACCACGCAGTCTGTTTTTAATTTTCGGGAAAGTAAAGAAATCGTTAGGACTTATATCGGGACTATATGGAGGATGGTCCAATAATTCCACGTTTTCTTCCGTTAAATACTGCCTTGTTTTTTGGGCTGTGTGTGAGCTTGCATTGTCTTGGTGAAGAATGATTCTTCTTTCGGGGTTGATTTTTCGAAGCTCGGTGATGACTTTTGGCAAACAAATGGTGGTATACCAATCCGCAGTAACAGTTCTTTGCTCATTAAGAGGAATTGTTCCAATATGACCCGCTTTTGACACAAATCTCATGACCATCTTTTTCGAAACACTTCGAGAACGGATGACTTTTGTTGGCTTTTCTTCACCTTGGAACACCCAAACAGCCGACTGCGTTTATTTTCTGGTTCATAACAGTAAATCCACGATTCATCACCACTAACAATGCTGTACACATTTTTTGAGTTTCCGGAATTGAAATGGTCAAGCGTTTTTTGACACCAATTAACCCTGGCTGCTTTCTGATATGCAGTCAACAGGTGGGGTATCCAACGACAAATTAATTTTCTTACTCCTAATTCTACATGTAAAATTTTTTGAATTGAGGTCTTTGAGATCTTCAGGGACGCCTCAATCTCGCGATATGTCACATGTCTATCTTCAATGGTGAGTTTGCGCACAGCATCGGCGTTTTCCTGGGTGACTCCCGTTTTTGTTGCACCCACCCTGGGATCCTCGGTAAGACTCACCCGTCCTGGTTTGAATTCTCCAAACCAACGGGAAATTGTCGACGGATGTGGCGGTTCGTTGCCGAAAACAGACAGTAACTCAGCAAGGCATTCTTATTGCGATAATTGTCTCTGAAAGTTGTAATAAATTATGGCGCGAAAATGTTCTCGGTTGAGTTAAATTTCTCTAATGATTTGGTGACACTTAAAAATTCACTGTAGTGAAAACACTGCACGTATTGTTGTGAAACTTTGTATTTATGTTTACTAAAGAGTGATGTTAAGATTCAGTACTGACGTTCGATCCGCGCGGCCTACTATGTTTCTATATGCAAAACTTAAAAGACATCCCTCGTATTAATCTATTAATTAATACGAGTATTTACTATTACTGAATTACAAAAAATGTGGAGTCAAGTAGGTTGACGCAGTACTTTTTACGCACTGATAATATAACTAATATGTTTAATATTTACATGAATCACGACAATGTTTAGTGCATCCTGTGCAGGAGCTTTAAAGAGACCGGGAAATGGACCTGACTTCAAATTTTTCAAAAATATTGACTCCTCAGTAAAATGTTTTTAACTATGCAAAAAAAGAAACTCGAAAAATATCGAATAGTGAACTTTGGGTGAGTTCTGAAAAATTTCGATTTTCGATCCGAATGCCACCACCCCCAGATTGACTAAAAAACAACGCTTTTTCATTGTTGGTATGAGTCAAAATTTTATCAAAATTAGAGCATTATACTTTTAGAGCTTTGTCGAGATGCTAGAAGGGTAGCGGACCGGAGACAAACAGACAGATAGTCAGACACAGACCGATGGAAAAAATGTCGCATTTTCAATTTCCTTCTCGCCGATAAAAAAACAAACATACTGTAATCCATAATACTTGAACAACGTTCCAAAACACTAAAAAACAACACGACGAATTTTTTATCTCCAACAATAGGAGGTGCTATAAAAGTACTCTAAAATCGAATGTGGCATCAATGCAAAATTTCTCTACTGTTTTATTAAGATGCATATTGAAAACATGCTGCGTTGGTTTATTCTTTGTGCCCAAATAATGGTTTTATTTTGAGCTTACACATTTTTGAATTGTGAATTGTGTCGAATCTATTTAGGATGGATTCCAGATCGGTCCTAGCGCTGCTCCATTTTAGGTCAAAATGAAAGATCACGATCGCCACATCTAAGATAATTCTGAAAGAAATTCAAACACTAATAAAAGTTGCATTAAAATTGAAATAAATAATCATAATCAAAATATTAAATTAAAATGTTCAAACAGACCTCCTTCTTGGGATTGACAGTAACCTAACCTATTGTAGAAGCCTGTGTGCGAACATTTTCTGGTGTAACATTATATTGGCAACGCGGCAGATTGCACGACCTTCTGCGTCACCGTTGCTAGGCAATGTGGTGATGACCTTCGCTCTTGAGCCGGCTTCTATTTCTTTCCAACGTTTGTTGATACACACTACTTATTCTCGCGCTTCTCTCTCGTACTCATTGAACTCAAGACATCAGACAAATTTGGTTTTCCCTAAAGCTTGGCAACGTTGAGTCGTTTCTTTTTATTCCTGGCTTGAAATTTGACTGATTTTACGAAAATGGTTCATTCATAAATTTGGATGTGTTCATTGTATGTGCATCATATAGTCGGTCAGCAATACTCACACTTTAACAAAAATAAATATCTGCCTATTTTCTTCAATAAATAATCGGCAACGTCGAGTCTCGAGTAATGTATTCTGTTAAACAGGTCCCACACGATGTGGCGAATGCCTTACAACGTTGGATACATGACCATTCGCCACATCGTGTCGGAGAGCGCTGACGGATTGCATGTGTCCAACGTTCACCACATGGCACGTTCGGGCTCTTGTCGGTAAATTTGACCCGCGTCAAAGGACGTTACAACGTTGGAAGCATGGTTCGTTAAGCTCCCACACGAGATCTCATGTGTTTGGTGGTTTTAGGTTAGAACCAGTAGCGGCGAAAAACATTATTTACTTGTTTTCTGTGATTTTGGTGAAGTAGTGGTATGTGGGAAGTATTTTGATTTGAATACCTACCTATTCATAATAATGTACATATATTCCGTAACTAACTTTTAAGGAGAATGAATTAAATTAGTATACATACAAAGCATATGCTGTCATAACACTTTTTCATATTGCTAATATTTTGTACGTTTCGCAGGTGAGTTACAGCTGGCCTAAGGATATGTATTTTAGTAAATTATAAATTATCAAGTGCTTACAAATGACGAAAAAACTCTGCAGTTTTTGAAAATAGGTACAGTAGCGGCGGAGCTATCGTCCAAAAACAAACAAAAATCTGTGAAACTTTATTTTTCGATATTTCTGAAGCTTCTGACAGACAAGTTTTGGTCGCTGCAGACAGATGTGAAATTATAATCAAATCCAAGCGGATAACCAAAATGTCTGTGTTATGTATATACCCCGGTTATAATATGGTTTAAGATGACACAGGGGTTGATGACGTCAGTTACTCGAATCGCTTGAACGCGTTGGTTTTAACCGTGGTTATGTTGCAAGTTGTTTATTTTAGAAAAGCGCGTATATCATTTCTGATTATTTTTATTATCACTTAATAATCGGTGCTTTTTTGTATACAACAGTATATGGAAACTTTAAAAAGAAACCTTTCATAATATTAATGGGAGAAATGTTTTTATTTCCAGAAAATAATTTTTAATGATGGAACTATGGCTTTGTAGCTATGCTAACTTCCAATTCTTTAAACTTTGCAGCATTTCAAAGAAAACATTTAGTGATTTAGCAGAAATGATAGGAAAAAAGCGATGAAAAAAGATATTAGCAGAACCGTATACAGGTGGACATTATCCAGTGAGTTTATATGGCCATATTTTAATATTCTGATGGTATATGGCCACACAGGACACTGTTAAGCATATGAACTAGATTTAAAGTGTCCCCAGCAACAGTGATGAGCATAACTAATAAGGTGCTCTACTTTATGCTATAACTGAAGCCATCCTGTATCAAGTTTCCCAAAAATGAAGCTGAAGTACAACAAAAATATCCAATACCCGGCAAAATTCTAACATGTCACATTTCAAATAATAAAAAGAAATATAAAAGTACTACTGAGTTGAGTAAATACCACAATTTTGCGGTGTTAACTATGACATATAACAGCTGATTCATGACGTCCCGGATCTTATAACCAAACTGATAACCACACTCGGTTGAACGGATCGGTAAATACCAATCCAAAATGGTAAATACCATTTTCATTTGGTTATTCGCTTGAATTTGATTTATTTTTCGGCGCTCGAAAAAAATTGTTTCATCGTTCATTTTGTATAATTTTTCCTTCAGTTGTAAAGGTTCAAGCGCGACACTGACACCGATAATAGATGTTGGCGCCACCATGCGTCGAATATTGTACACAACGTTGTATACAACATTGGAAGCATCGTGTGGGACCCGCATAAGATGTCACCATGTGTAAGCCGTTCGGCTCATCGCATTTGCGCAAAGGTGTACACTGAAGATTGAAGAATGATGTTTTGTGCCAAGACAAGCACCGAGTTGTACTATCAACAGATTTTGCCAGAAATGTCAAATATTTATATTTATATTTAGGTTATTTTTTAAAGTTATAGGTACCTTTTTAGTTTTATAATTGTACAAATTATATATATTATTCCTCAGTTACAACCCCATAGTCTTCAAAACATCAATTTTATTTCAGGCACGTTCCAGTGTTAGACTGTTCAACATCGATTAACTTGTTTCTGTTTTGCACTTGCACTAGACAGGTATGGGATTAGTCCCCCGAACGGTGTTCGGTGGTAATTTTTGAATTTAAAAAGTTATCTATTTTCTACATCCAATGTCCAAACCACAAGAAGTACAAATAGTTAATCTCATAGCTACCAAAGATGTAGAGCCTCTGAGTGCAAGTAATTCCCAACAACCCAGTATTATATACCTTAATGGTAAGCTCATTTTTTTGTAATAGGATATAATTATTAATAAGTATATATATTACAAATTAATATTAATAGTAATTATATTAACAGTAATGTTTTTAGAGAGGGGCTATGAAGGTTGTTATACCTAATGTGTCTAGCAACAGTTCTGGAGCGATTTTTAACTTTAGAACTTCTGTTGGAAGTGAAGGAGAAAACCGGGAAGATTAGTTTTTGTATATAGACATTTTTTGAACTTGATGCTTTGTAATAACCCCAACTTTTTCTGTACATTTCTTGTACACATTTTTTTTCATTTGAAGATTCTGAGCCAAGAGTGGAATGGGATGTTAACTCCACAAAGCATATGTTAAAATTGTATGATGAGAAATGTGATTTACTTGAACATGGCGTTATAAATACACAAAAGAAATTGTGGGAACTAGTATCAAAAGACATGCACAAACATGATTTTTACTATTCTGCACAGCAATGTGAGAACAAGTGGAAAAGTCTGAAAAGATGCTACAGATTGAAACAGGAAAGACTAGAAAAGTATGGACAATGTAAAAGACCATGTCCTTTTGAAGAGTATGTATAATGTATGCCTATATATGAGAAGGTACCCAAAAAAAGGGTGGATCCACATTTTTTGGAGTCTTTCTTAGAAATGTCTGACAGCTCCTCCCTCGTTTTTTTTCTTGACCTCTTCAATGTCATCAAAGCGGCGTCTTTTCATGCATCAAGCTATTCTCAACATTAAAACAGTTTCAGCAGCATTTTTACCAGTTAGAAAGCAAAATTTCACAGCTGCACTTTGCTCACTGAAACTTGCTATCATAAAAAACGAAAGAAGCATGAAACAGCTCTAGCAAAAATAATGACTACAGTAATGAGTTGCGCTGTATGCCTGTAGGGGCAGAAATGTGTACTACACAAGCTCTGCCCACTGCAATTCTATGTCGGTTAATTTTGGGTACCTCCTCGTTTTCCAATTTTTTATTGCATCCTTTTTTGTTAGGCACTTGATTTCTTCAAAGTATCACTACTTGCAAAAACATTTTGGAGGTAAAAATGACATCCAGTTCAGTAGCTTTTATTCGAGTTCATGACTGGGTATACAAATACCTCACTCATAATATCTGGAATACAATATACAAGATATTTTCAAAATCAGAATTTCAGATACCAGATACAACATACTTTCTGGTATGGTATCTGAAATACTAGAGACAATATCTTTTAACACAGTCTTGTTACATGGATTATTTACAAATAGAGTGTGTTGATCGCGAAAACGTGACAAAATCAAAATTTTATACTTTAAGGTTTTAATTGAGACTCAAGTAATACCATTTATTTTATCACTCATTTTTCTTTGATGAGACCATACTATCAGTTGCTCAAAAGAGAAGAGTATCTCCTTTAGGGACAGAACTTGGAAAACAGGTGATATATTTGAAAAATCTTTTTTTATTGTCGGATGGACATTAAAGCTCTTCAAGCGGATTTATGTATTACTTAGATATTGCAGTACTTCTCAGTCAGCACTGCTGCCAGTAAACCCTGTATTTTCACTGTTTTCGCTATTTGCAATGGAGGAATTGGAGTCCCTTAAGTACATGTAATAAGATTCGTCTTTTGACCTAACAAGTCAACAACTCCATAATATAAACTGTTTCTACTTTTATCAACATATTTTGTTTACTTTGCAGTGAGCTACAGGAGATTTTCAAAAAACGACCACATGAAGCAGCATACATCCCAAAGACAGTTGACCAAGCATTCATAAAAATGAAGCAAGATATTGACGGATTTATGGACACAAATCTCAATGATCCACCAGGGTAAACAACTCGTAACTCGTAAAAATTACTTACAAATTCGCAATGTTTGAATTTGTTTAGTAGAAAAAAACGTAACCCTTCGTTTTTCGCATAAAAATAACAACTATCTGTCGGAATGGCTTCATGTCGGCAAGGTAAACTCCTGCATTTTGCTATAAAATGCCCTATGAACGAACCCTGTATATTGCTCAGTAAACTGGTAGTTAGGGCCGGAAGACAGGTATTTTGAGTTAAACAATTACAAATTCCCAAACACTACTTGACCAATCGACTCCAATTTGTAATGGTTATTTAGAAGTAAGAAGTCTTCGGATTTGAAGAATTTCAAGTAGCTGCGTGAAATTATCGTTGGTTTAGCAAGGGCCGAAACCTGCATTTTGCATCGCTTTTCGGCCATAACGTTTTTACTATTAGTGAGACCTTTTTACGGGTGGTCTCATTCTATAGATCTCATAAATACGCAAAAATCTTATTTGAAGAGTTTTCTCGTTCCTGTAGAGACTTTCGATTGAATCCCAAAAAACACATTTTCTCATTCTTTGTTGTCGAATAAAAAGTTTTTCCACAAAAATTGGTGTACCCATTTTATGTGTCCATGTTTTAAATACCACCTTGAACAACTTGCACCAGTAAGACTTATACAGGGTTATCCAAATTAAGTGTCCACCATTAGTAACTTTGTTATTAGTGAAAATACAAAGTTGTTTGAATTAGCAAACTAGTAGCATTTTTAACGCTGGTAAAAATGAGAAATAAAAAAAAACAATTGCGAGTCGTTATTTTGATTTTTTTCAGTAAAATAAAATTTTTTTAAATGGAAACCCCTGTATATTATATTTTTTTCTGTTAAAGCATAAAATTTTAAACAAAAAAGTTCATAATGACTTTTCCGCTAAAGTCAAAATAACGATAAATATTTTTAATTATTTGCAGTATTATAATATTAAGACGGCTATGAAAACAACATGGCGTTCGCGATTTGACAGCATTAAGATAAGCGACAAATTGTTAAACTGGACATACTCGCAACTAGAAGGCTTTGGAAAACAATGATAAAATCAAATAATGTCAAACATTAGTGTAAATACTTGTTTATAAGCTTTATTGTGTCATTAATTTAAAGAAAAATGTTCTCCCATTAAGAAAAGTGTGATATGTTAGAATGCTATTTAATTTAAACAACTTTGTATTTTTACTAATAACAAAGTTACCAATGGTGGACACTTAATTTGGATAACCCTGTATATTATAAGACTTTACAATAGTTTCGGGGAAATTTGCTAATATGATTAGACTATCAGTCATATAGGTCCATTCAATTAGTCCATATACATTCTTTCTCTGCTCTACTAGTAATGCAGTTGTAAACGTTGCCTCTATCCTATCAACACGGTCTCGGCGCACGACGCCAGAAGCAGTCGCGGTCGATAGATACGCGATCCATCTCGCGAGAATAAGTTTTCTTGGATAAAGTGTGGAATATGTCTATTCGGTGCGTAGAATTACCAATGTTGGGAGCGTATAAAACAACCCCCAACCCCATGTTTTTACCTGTAAATTTTTTTCAAAAATGATCAGAATCCTCTGAGATGTCAAAAACGAAGTTTGAGCGATTTTTATTTCTTCGTATTAGGCCATTTTCTCTGCCGCCACTGAACCTATTTTTAAAAACTACAAAGCCTTTGCGTCCTTGGCATAGTAGTAACAGTAACAAAATCATGTGTCCGTTTCCTTGGAATTGAAGGGTTGTCTTGATACAGATCCGGACTTCATGACCAAAATTGTAACTGGAGATAAAAGCTGGGTGTATGTATTGCTATGACCCTGAAACAAAAATGCCCAAGTTCCCAATAGAAAACGAGTGCCTCTCGTCGCCTTAACAATTCACGTCAGTCAAAGTCGAACGTTGTCATGTTCATTCGTTTTTGTTGATAGTGAGGGCATAGTGCAATCAGAGTTCGTTTCAAGAGGGGAACGATTGTAAACTTCGAAAAATCATCCAACAGCTTCCTTCTTCATTACGACAATGTACTGTGCCACATATGGTTTCTGATTCGCTAGTTTTACAAAAAAATATGACTTTCTGTCCACACCTACGTTATTCTCCGGATTTGGTATCATGCTAATTCTGCATCTTGTCAAAAATAAGAACCGTGCTAAAAGAAAAGCGTTTTGTATCCATTAACGAGATTGAAAGAGCCACGACGCAGCGGCTGAAGGCTCATCTGAAAGCCTTCCAGAATGCTTCAAATCATAAAATCACTGCTGGGATAAGTGCATCGCTAGCAAGGAGTTTTTTTTGAAAGAAATTAATTCAAGTTTGATGTAAGCTGAATAATTTGTCCGCAATAAAATTATTCACCGTATTTTTTTTTATCACACCTCGTATGTGTCTTCGGCGTTCCACTTAACATTTACAAAACATTGCTCTAGTTTCAGTAATTTTGAGGATGATGAAGATTACGTCGATTCCCTCGATCAACCTGCAGCTGAAACGGTAAATCAGGTGATAGTCCAAGATAACACACAACTAGTGGAGGAACTCTCTGAGCTGAGGAAGACCATTAGCAAACATACTCGGATCACTACGCAACTGATCAGAGAGACCATGGAGATTCAGGAGAGGTTTGCGAAATACTTTGAAGGGGCTGCGCAAAGAGAAACTCAAAGGATAGACCTCGAGGAAGTGCGAGTAGAACAACAGAATGAAATTATCAAACAGATGGCTTTACAGAATAGCATATTGCAGAAGTTGATGGATAAATTGGGATGACATAGTGTTTGAAGGAGTTTGTTTTAGCACGATTTGTAACTATGAGAATTTTCAATAAAGTTCTTATGCCCCACTTTTGAGTTTTCTCTGTAATTGGCCTCTGATAAAAGTGATTTGAGGTACCACACAGTGGTTACGAAACTTTTTTATTTTTCGACTCGTGTGGTATACACGTATGCAGACAGACTTAAATACTGAAAAATATGTTTATATGTATATGGCCTTCCCGTACCTTGCATAATCCTTGCACTTCCATGTTTTTGTGTCGGCTTGGCAACACGGCATATAGTCTTTCCTGAGCCGCTTTCCAGTTCCAGTACGTGCCAGTACTTTTGAATTGACAGTTGTATCACAGGTTGTATGCTAAACTTCATGTGACAGCTGTCACTGATTCGTTTGTTTACTATTTTGTTTTGTGATTAGTATGATGTATTAACAATTTAACTTATCAAAAATATAGCCTTATCACCGTATTTTTTTGTAAGATGGGGCACACTGCTACCTTATTTATTTTGAGTTTAATGGTCCTATTTGAAATAGGTGAGAAATTTTTAGGTTAATTTACAGTAGGTCATATAAGTGCTTACCTTGATTTGTGCTTAAGAATATCAGCATGATTCATTTGTTCCAATTTAAAACAAGGGGCGTATTCCCATTATAAAAAAAAAGCATTTTAGGGCTAGCTGTGAGGTGCTATCAGTGTGGATCAAGCGAAGATGGCCCTAATGAGGATAACTGCGGGGCGTACAGAAAATTTGACAGAGAAAGCCACATAGCAGTTGACTGTAGTAGTGAGGAGAGTCATATGCCTGGATCATTCTGTATGAAAGTTACCATGCAGAGCCCTAGAGGATTTATTTGTGAGTATTTTTGATCACTAAGAATTATCGTTTAAATTGGACATTACTTTTCTTCTACAACTGTAGCAATTTTCATTTTTATATACTACTAACTGTTAACTTCGTACGCCTTAAATTAGAACAATCGGTGTAAATCAAAGATGATTCTAAAATAAATTAGTTATATAATATATAATATAATATATAATAAATAATTCCAATCAAAATGAAAACAAAGATATTAAATTAAGTGTTTTGGGTATGACAGTAACCTAACCTTTTGTTACGAACATTTTCTGGTGTAACATATTGGCAACACGGGGGATTACACGACCTTCTGCGTCACCATTGCTAGACAATGTGGTGTTGACTTTCACTCTTCAGCTGGCTTCTGCTTCGTTCTAACATGTGTTGATACACACTTCTCGCGCTTCTCTCTCATACACATTGAACTCAAGCCGTCAGACAAATTTGGTTTTCCTGTATAGCTGAGACTGCAGTCCACCTAGTGTCTATGATTATAATATTTATGTCACTGGGGTACCTCTAAACAAATTTCTGTCATGTCGGGAATGTGACGATTCTGCTAGTTTTGAATCTACCTTTTCTCATTTGGGTCAAAGCTGAAATTAAACGACCTGGCCTGAAGGGTCATACCTTAGGTCAGGCTCAAACTTTTTGCCTGAATAATCTATGGACGCATGAAGATTTGAAAAGTTTCAGGGTCCCAGGACAAATTGTTTTTCTCGAGACATGATCAGAGTGTGAAGGTTCGGGATAAAAATGTGAATCTTAGCATTCTGGCAACTGTTCATTTTCCCATTACTACTGTACAACAACAAAAACTCCACAAAATTAATATTTTTCGTAAAGGAGTACCAACCTATCCTTTGTGGATTGAAATTTGTTCTTGGGCCCTTAAGTTGGTCGAATATTTGGGACCAGAATTGGCCATTTTCATGATACTATTGGCCAAGCCAGGTCATGGAATTTTAGTTTTGAATTTAGAGATATCAGCACATGGTACACCAATGTTTTTGATCACTTTGCATCAATGAATCGACATATCAACATTCTCAATACATTGATGTATCATGGCTGTCCCTAGAGTGTTTCATTCTTTTTCAGTTGTAGAAAAAATACTTTTTTTATCATACTGTTTTGATATATTTTTTTCAGGGGATGGCAGGTGGCGACAAGTAATAAGAAGATGTGCCTCTATTGCTGAAAATGGAGTGACAGGAGTGTGCAACTGGGGAGTGTATGAAAATGGCATTTATTGGGAAGAATGCTACTGCTCTGAAGATGAATGTAATAGTGCCAGTATTGTCAGTTTATCAAAAGCTATTCTAGTAACTGTGCTCTCTATATATGTCATGAGACTCATTTTATAGTTGTAATGTGAATTCAATTATTATTTAGTACACACGAATAATTTTTGAGGAATCGATAAGAAATGGTTTTGCTGCAATGTTTCATGCAGGTCTTGGAGATCCCCAGTTATGTTGGTTAGAACATTCGAATGCAAAAATAAAAAAATGACTGTGAGTTCTTTTAAAACAGTTTGTTTATCGAACACATACCTTATTCAAGCTTTATATGCAGGTATGTTTTTTCATTGTATATTTAAAGCTATAATTTGTATGATTGTATTTTATGTAAGTATGAATCTCATTGTATTCCGTCCAAAAGCATTGTTATACTAGAATTTTATATTTTTTTATAAATCTGATTTATATACATTTGTACAAATATAAAGTATATACACAATAGTTACCGATATTTTTTTTATTAACATATTTCCAGATTAACATAATAACTTATCAAATATAAAACTATTTACTTATAAAATTGTTATATACGTAGCTGTCAATAGTATAAATGGTTGAAATTACTTTTTGTTATAATATAATGTTGAGTGTTAGCTACGTATATGAAAGGTAAAAAAAAAACATTTGAAAGTCCAAGGTTAACATTCAAAATATTGGATTTTTTCCATGAAACTTATACACAAACATCCTTACTGTTGAAGTAAAGTATATGTACATTTTGCCACAAACTTCACAATCGTTTTCATACTGAATCCAGGATTGTCAATTTAAAATTACTATTTGGTCACTTGAAACCTACATCAATTTACTGTTGAGGTAAAGTATTTGTACATTTTTTACATTAATTATACATGATAAAACTATACTATAATCTATAATTAAGGGTCTGAGTCAAAATCCTCTGACTCATATGGTTGTCACTTGTTTTACGTATATTTTTCTATTCATACCAATTTGTCACATACTTACACCTTGAGGGTACAGTTTGTTTATGTCATTATATTTGTTTAATATGAAATCATCTCTCTCAAGTCTGATGAGTCATTATATGTTATAAATCGTCAACCAGTGTATGCTAATTGATTACTTCCAATGATTAATGTATAACGTCTAAATATAATTCAACAGCGCCAAAATTTTTGTAATTTATAATGCACACAGTGTTTAATTTGATATGAGGTATTGCAGTATTTTCTGCTGCTCGAAAATGCCACACGTGTTCAAATTATTTCGATTTTCGAGAAATCATGCTCATCAAAGTTGTATACGCATATGCAAGATATAAATGGCCAGCTTATGGAAAAATTGCAAAAATAGCAGCTGTGCACTGGAGCGGTGAATTCAGGAACCTTTAAAAGATACCGAAATTCCTGCTCAATGTTACGAAAGTTAACATGGAAAATTTTCTCGGCATTTTGCAGGAACGAAAATGTTTCGACTCAATTTCGTCTTTGGTGCAGCATGTGTATACGTCTAATAGCACAGTCCAGTCTTTTTAAACTAAAACCAAGTACTTAGTTGCTCAGAACAAATCCAAGCATTGCTAAACATATTGAACCAAGAAGAACGTAGCTTGTCTTCAGTCCTGTCGCTGAGTTGCAGCCTTCATAATCGCAGTATTCGCAAAACTCCAGTGATAGGCCTCTGCTGACTGGTTCGTGGCAGGTACCTACAGATTGTTCTGGAGGGATGAGAGCACATCTACGGATAATGCTGGAATATCCAGGACCTGAAAAAAGCGGGAAAAGTAAGGATTGTTTTAATATTTGAACAGACGAAAATTAATGACATTGCATTAGCTTTAAACTTAAACAGATAATTTCATTGCCTATCACCAATTAGCGTGAACCTCAAATGTGTACCCGACCTTTGGTCTCTTTACAAGCTTTTATCCAACTTGACCTATTTGTTAGTTGGTGTGGGATAACCTTGGAACTAAATTATATATACGTTTGGCTTACGTGACAATACACACTCAAATAACTATCGTCATTTTGAATCCAATATGGCGGATGTTGCAGAATGACGATTTATCATTCATATAGTAACCCCTATGATATGGGTATCAAATGAAGAGGCTTGATGAGAGAAACACAATAAACAAAGTGACGTCGTGCTAAATCCAATACAGCGGAGGTCGCAAAATGGCGATTTACATTTTTCATAGACATCCATATACTATGGGTATAAAATGGAAGGGCTTGATGAGGGAGGCATAATAAGCAAAGTGACGTAGTTCTAAATCCAATATGGCGGATACCACAAAATAGCGATTTATAATTTCCATAGTCACCTATCATCAAATAATGAAAGGGCTTGATAGGGGTAACATAATAAGCACATAACGTCATTCTAAATTCCATATGGTTATCCCCGCAGAATATCGATTTGTCATTATATGATTTATAAATATCGAAATTTTATAATAAATAATGTCATAAGAAGAAAAAAATACCATTACGAAAATAAAAATAAAAGGAATTTTTAAAAACAAGCTTTTATTTAGCTGTTAATAAAATTAACTAAAAATTTAAAAACAATCTTTTCCGATTGGAAATATTTATACCTTTACTGAAACTCCTTCATTTCAAGTTTTCCAATAAAAGCGTGTAACACAATTTTTTTCCATTATGCTTTTAAAACGTAACATGCTTTTATTTGAAAACTTGAGATAAAGGAGCTTCATTATCGTAAAAAATATTTTAACATTTTTAGTTGATTTTATTAGCTATTTAGTTTAGTAGGTAATAGACAATCATGTCAGAAAAATGTCAGAACACGTCTGCAGTTTCCTGCTAAGGACAGAGGGGTCGGTAGTACCATGTTTGTAGGAATTACTTAAAAGTACAGATACACATGTTCATAAAATAGCATGCTTATCATCATGCTTGAAAATGGCATGCTCTTCAAACTGATACATTTGCTTGTGTTTAGCATGCTCTTCTCGATCTTGCTCAAAGCAAAGACTCCGAACCCATATTCTATATGCTCTCTGCCAGTGTTCCATTGCAAAAATTGAAAACCAAGTGACTCTCTCCACAGAAGTGAAATTATCGTACAAAATATTTTAACATTTTTAGTTGATTTTATTAGCTATTTAGTTTAGTAGGTGATAGACAATCATGTCAGAAAAATGCCAGAACACGTCTGCAGTTTCCGGCTAAGGACAGAGGGGTCGGTAGTACCATGTTTGTACGAATTACTTAAAAGTACAGATACACATGCTCATAAAATAGCATGCTTATCATCATGCTTGAAAATGGCATGCTCTTCAAACTGATACATTTGCTTGTGTTTAGCATGCTCTTCTCGATCTTGCTCAAAGCAAAGACTCCGAACCCATATGCTATATAATAGCAAGCTCTCTGTCAGTGTTCCATTGCAAAAATTGAAAACCAAGTGACTCTCTCAACAGAAGTGAATAAAGTCATCATTTTGATTGCTATACATTCATACGCATTGTTTCTCAAAATATTGTTTTTATACTGCGAAGACTTTGGGTTCCACAGACATCAATGATTTCGATATAGAATGACAAACTTTAACGTCTTGTCGTCATCCCAGCGCGCCATTTTTGGAACACACACGCGCACTTGCTGCGAACAACTGCTGCTCAATAATAGCATGCTTAATAAGCAGACCTATTCACACGAGCTAAAAGCACACCCCCTTCCACGCGCGCTGCAGGCAGCATGCTCAAAAATTGTACGACGGTCGATTTTAAGCTTGCTCAGGTAAAAAGCATGCTTATTTCTAGTTATGTACACACATGTTACTTGTTACTGATGGTACTGACAGACATGCTCAAAAAAAGCATGCTTATAAGCTTGCTTAAAATTCGCATGCTCTGCAAACTGTTCACATTTGCCAGCAATAAGCATGCTTGTTTTAAGCATACTCCTAAATAGGCATGCTCAAAGCAAACGTACGGACAGACGTGCTATTTGGCACCAGGCTCTCGGCCAAAATGGATGTACAAGTATATAGTGACAGTGCTATCCATACAGAACTTAATAAAATAATCATATTGCTTGCAATGGAATTGTGTAAGAAAATTTTGGTAAAAAATAAGAAACCAAAAAAAAGGAGAATTTGGGTTCGTATCTGGATAAACAGAAGAGAATCACTGGGAGCAAGTAATCGATTGTTGGCAGTTATACAAATCATTTGCGCACATTCCCATACTCCCGCACACATTCCGGACCGCTTCGAATTGTTGATTTTTCTTACTTCGGCATGAAACACAGATCTTAGGTTTTTAATTTCAGTTTTAATTATTTTTATTGTTAAACTTGAATCATTCATGTCCTTTAATAAAACCTCATAAGCATTGTTACGTGCAATATTATTTTTATATAAAGGACAATGTGTGTTCCACAGACATTCGTAACTTCGATATTGTGACACAAAAAGCAAAGTTTTTTCTTCTCCCCAACGCGACATATTGTGGGTTTAATTTTCGTTTTTATTATAATTACTTCAATTAATTACGTAAAACAGTCGTCCGCCGCAGCTCGAGACAGAATCGATAATAGCATGCTAATAAGCAAACCTGTTCAGACGTGCTCGGAGCACGCCTCCCCTACCCGCGCCTCAGGTAGCATGCTCGAAAATCAAACGTTGTTTAATTTTTGAGCACGCTCTAAATAAGCATGCTCATTACATTACACACGTGCTACTAATGAGCACTTGCTCAATAAAAGCATGCTTTCGTGCTAGTAATGAGCACGTCTGTCAGTACCTTAAGTAGCAATTGTTCATTAATAGCATGCTTTTGTGCTAGATTTGAGCATGTGTATCTGTACTTTAAAGATGGCAGAGTCATATCTCTTCCAAAAAGCTGATATGTTCGACGATGCTCTTTAAAAGCTTTAAAGGCTGCGTGGCTGACGGAGAATAGACAATCAAGTGATGAACGTTTGTTTTTGTTTCAAAATCGATTGTGAAACAGTAAAACATTGGTCCGGATGTTTAATTCATTTATATTTGTTTATTATTGATGCGAATGGTTTGTAGGAAGCATCGCGCTTTATTACGCGCCAGAAAACAAAAACTATATACAGAACGATTCCAATTATGTAGGTCAAAATCAAAACCACGTGTGATAACAGTCGGTGACTACTAAAATTTCCAGCGAAAACCGACAAGTGAATTTTCTGCCTATTTAAACTTTCACTTTCCGCTCGGGTTTATCCTTTCATAAAAGCAACGTGGCGAGTAGCTACGGTTAGTGCGGATACCTTTTGTTTGTAAATAAACATGACAAGCTTCTGTATTGCAGTCCCAGTAACGTCGACACCTTTCTCTTATCTAATTCTAGTTTTTAGACTGTTGGATATGCTTTATAACATCCGCTTTCATAAAGTTATGTTACACATTTTGTGGGTCCTCTCCACCGCAATTTCCAAGATAGCACAACTAGTTGATTTTTGAAGACGTTGAAATTGATTATAGAAATCATGAGCACTAGTCTCAAAATGTAGAATTTATTTAACGAGATATAAGTATATATTGTCGCTGGTACCTACTAACTGAATATCAAAATAAAAGAACTGGTGTTGTCAATTCGTTATATTTTTCATTCTTCTTTCACCTGTCTACATCACATCGTTTTTAGATGGTACATATATTTTTATCTTTGCCTTGAACCCGTTTATTAGCAGGTATAAGTTCTGGCAAAATTCCATATTAGCTCCTTGTTCGTCTGCATTCTTTTGAAAGCCGAATACCTATACGGATAGACACCATAACGGCCTTGAATAGTTTGACCACGTTCATTAGATCAAACAGTAAGGTGGTTAGATAGGATTGTTAATTTTTGGCCAATATTAATTTCGAATGACAGAACGAGTTATACCGAAGCAATCCCTTGAATATCGAAGTTCCACGAATTATTTAAAGAGGTTAAAGGAGTTTTAGTTCAGATTTAAATGGTCAAAGTTAGAAGCACTTGAGAAAGCCTCTTCTGACACATTGCTCCACATTCTCGATAACCTAGGAACAAAAAAGTGGTTGTTTCGGATATAGTTCCGATGTTCAATGCTCTAATGGGTCAGGATGAGAAGCTGACGCCTGGCGACACTGTATAGCAAGCCTAGAATGTGGCGTATCGATGTAAAAATTCAAATTGCCTACTAAGAAAGTATCACAGATGAATAACCAGTAGGATTGTCCTTTTCTGGAGCAGATCAAGCATCAAGCAGCAGCACAGTGCCTGTGGAAGTTCCCCAACCAGAAGAGCGGATTTAGAGGGGGCGCCCCCTAGGCGCCTAAGTCTGCCATTTTTTAAGAAAATGGTATATATTGCAGTATCTCAGTGTAAAATTACTTCCAAGAGCTATTCCCTCTCTCGTCAATTTTGTTACAAGGGCATTTGATCTCGAGAAGCGCTGCTTAAGTGCTAAGCATGCAGCCGCCATCCCCGCTCTTCAAAATCGAATTACCTACAACCACCAGCTCCCCCGAGACGAACATCTTCCTAAACATGTTGACGTCATGACGGGTAATTTTAATAAATCTTTTGCAGTGGTCGATTATATTTTGGATACTGTATTGGAGGAAGAGTAGTAATCCAAGATGAAAGCACTTAAGCGTTAGGATTCTTCTGCGCTTTATCTAAGAGTTAATAGGCGCTTATAGATTAGCGTCGAAGGCCAATGCTCCCTCAGGATGTCGCGTAATGATACGGCACCTGGGCAGAGCAAGTGGTCCATTTTCCTGTTCACATCCCTCACACAAAAAGATATGACGCTTAAACTCTTTTTATTGAGATATGCTCTTTTGTCGGACATTTTCTAGTTGTAACCCGAGTAGCAAGTAGCAAGCCGAAGCATGACTCCAATATGTAGAATCATTTATTAACGCATTCCACCTGCTTGAATACGTTAATCAATGGTAGAACTTAGAGAGGCCAATGAAGGATCTAGAATTCTGGCATCAGCAGCCACCTTTACTCAGCCAATCAGCTGTGATATTAGTCTTACATTGTGAGAGAACCATCACAAAGGTAACAGTCATATTGTTGCTGGTGAAGAGTCAATGGGCAAGCAATATTTTACATGAAAACTATATTTTACTTTTCTTATACAATAATTATATTATCATTTATATGGCGTACCTCTGATGACTTTTTTCATGCAAACATTCTTCATCCTCCTCAACCTGGCTTCATTATCATCGCAGTTTTCCAAAGTCGGCCACTGATTGGTTTGCGCGGCAGGGTTGTAGTTATTACCGAAGTTGGGGTTGTAGTTGGGGTTGTAATTTGGATTATAGTTTTGATTGTAGCCTTGTTGGTCGTAGGGCTGACGTTGCGTTAAGGGGCTGTACAGACCACCGCCTCTTCGCGCTAGGATGTCGGACTGGTTGAAGCGGTCGTTGCACATAGGGTCGATATCGCTGGAGCATTTCCAACACTGCAGGGCAGAAGCTGAAAAAAACAAAGAAGAAAATGTTTTATATGTACGCACAGTGGTATTTGCCGGAATAATTGCTTAATAAATATATCGATCCATCTCCAACTCTTCAAGAATTTGGCCAATGCATGAATGAAAATACTAGTTTGACTTGACTCTTCCTTGTATGTCCAATTTCAAAATGACTGAAATAAACCCATACTGCAAATATGCAATGTGTGGCTTATGGCTCAAAATCATCCTTTTTCTCAAAAGCTATGATAGTCCTATGTCTTGCCCATATTATTGGTTATAACACATTGGACTTCAATATATTATTTGGTATTCAAAAGCTTCACAACGACCAAAAATGCTAAAGGAGGACGGCTCGCCTTTCGTAGTCATTGCTTCCACTCTGCTCTTGTGTGAAAGTTGAGAAATATTCAAATGTAAATTATGGTTATACTGTAGAGTTTTTAGGCCATACATTTTATATTATGACTAAACACACATTGAAAACATTGATTTAAGTAAACTGAGTCAGCCGAAAGACGGTCTGGAATACTGCGAAAAAAATCATCCCAAAGTATCTATCCTAAAATTTTACTAATAATACTAGAAGCAGAAAACATCTTGAGAGCGGCACGGTCGTTATTTATCTCAATTTTACAGAAATTTCATTTCTAGAATCACAATGAAAGGTAGGATGTATTCCATCAAAGAATCTATTGTAAATTGAAAACATTTTCTTTGCCTTTATACAATTACAAGCATTTCCATGGCAAAACTAGGTAACTATATTGTTATTTTTGTTGCATAACAAGTCAAGGTCAACGGTATTGTTTAACTATTTTTTAATCACCTGCGGTATTCTCGAAATCCGGAATGTGAATTAACGAATAAAATAGTCGCATTGAAGATGCGGATGTGGTAGTCTAATCTTCGTGATTACACCACTAATCCAAATATCAAACAATGTCATTGTCATGATTTCGTGGAAGGAATTCCTTAAATGATGGGTAGGTATATTATTGTTTATGTAACGTATTAGTATTGCATACACGCCTTGACAAAAATAAATAAATATTGCAAATTTTTTCCACAGCCGAGATTAGCTTTACATAGAATCTTTAGTATCAAAAAGTAAAATTATATCTCACACTTCGCAAGAAACTGAGGGATTTAATCCTAAATTCTTAGCTCGCATTTGAGTCTCGTACATTGAAGGAAAATTCATTTAAATACTATTTCTCACCGAAGGAATCAACCAATAGTATTTGACTTTTATTCCAGGTACTAACATCTATTTCATAATATCTCAAGAAAGCTTAACCTTTATGACAGAAGAACGGTCGCATTCTAAGAACAGGGAGAGGATAAACTTATTTCGTTACGCTAGAACTTATTATCAGAGCTTTTGGGCGCGAAAATTTATATTTGAACTTTTGAGAGCATATTTTGCCAACTACTTCTCATACAAGAAAGTGAAAACACTATGAACACATATTTTTTGGAGATCCATTCCAGCAAAACTTTTTGTCTAATGCTTTGTTGAGCGATGTAGTTATTAACATAATATGACTTATTTTAATAAAATAGCATGAAATCGGCTTGAAATATTTTATCAAATTCAACAATACAGAAGAAAACAATGTCATATCGACCGAACGTGGTATAAAAAGGATAATGAAAACCTCACATGTTTATGAAATGCTATCAGTATGTTTACTTACAAAACTGTCTTTATTAACTTTTATTGTTTTATAATAGATGCTTTTTTAAACATTAAATTGTCTCTCCACCCTCACGCTGAGAGAAATTTCTGCGGTCGCACATGATCGTTGCTATGACTAATCCAGCGTGGTTGATGATATTGACTTTTACAGCTTACAGCCCAAAAACAGTACGGAAGCGACTATCAACTGTGACGTATGACCGTCAGCCAGACCACGGCTCACGTATTGACACGCGATTGGAAATATTTATTTTTTATTTAAGGATAAATGTACGGGGACATCTATGAGCAGCGAGATGTATCTAAAATCATCAGGATACTCTGAAACGTCAAAAAAAGAGTATTAATATTTTTTTGTCTTTGGCCTTTTTGTCCGCCGCCAGTGGACCGATTTTCAAAAAGTATGAAGCTTTTTCGTCCTTGGCTTAGTAGGAACAGTGTTTGAAAATTTCATTCAAATCTGGCGATACTTTCCAAGTTATAGACGGGCCAAGGATTAGCGAACAGATAGAACAGACGAAAATTTTCGCTATTACAATACTTCCTCGCCAGTAGGCGTGGGAAATAAAAACACAGCATGTTTTAGAATTTACCTAATACCTAACGTTGCAATTTTTTATCATATACTGAACTAGTTACTCCTAAACAAATATGTTAATTTTTTCATGTTTCATTGCAATTACTGTACCACGATTGAATAGGTAATCAAAGCACGAGCGAAAAACCCCAAGGTGCTTTTCTAATAGTCCACTGTGTATGTTTGTTGTGATTGCGGTGGTCGCTCACTTGTTTCAAGGTGTTTTCTAGAAGGTGATTTTACACGTTGTGAATCTCATTCCTATTTTTTTATGTAGATTATAGTATACACACTCCTAGACTCAATTAATTCTACATGATGTTAGAAACGTGATTCCTAATTTTCATTTGTTACTTCTTTGCTTTGTCAACGATTATTGGATCCATATCGCACTCACAGAGGACATGAAAGACCAATTCTGTTCCTTTTCCACATTTCTTGTGGTTAAGGTCCCCATTAGACAACTTTACATTGCGTCCTTTTAGAAGGATTGTTACTGTGGAGTTAAGTTCTGTTCATTGGGAGCAGTTTCGCTGCTGTTTTTGGTTATTGTCCCAAAATACAAATTTCTTGATTGGTTCCCCGATTGTGCTTTCCGGCAACCCCAAGCAAAATTTCTCGGCTTATCCATTGTGTTTTTTTAATTCTTCTTGTCTAAGCAGAATCTGTATTTCAATAAATAATGAGCTTGGCATTCAAACCAAAAACCATTTTTGATTTCCAATTTACTACTATAAACGACAGGATATCCCTCTCTCAATGTCACCCAAAAAACAGTTCAATGGGTGTGAATTTTTTTTTAAAGTAGATGTAAAATAATATTGATATTGAACTAACTCTATTTAAGAGTAATTCTTTACTTTGATCCACTAGATGAGAAATTTAAATACTTAGATTTATTATGAATTTAAACTAAACTGCTCAACTTAATAGTGGGTCACGTTCTTTGTGATTGAATTGTAGCGCCAAATTCATATGAATATCTCTGCAACTTTTGATTAGAGACATATGGCTCTAGGTGCTCTAGTGAATGAACTCTTTATTTGATTACGATACGCTCCACATTCGCCTCAAAACCTTAATGGAATTAAACAAGTGGCAGTGCTGAAATAAGTAATGATCAATAAAGTTGATCCGCTACTCAAGTTGAGCAGTTCACTAAAAGGATTCGTTGTGAAAATATGCTGAAAAGTAGATCTGTTGAAATTCAAGCAACGATCAAGCAAACATCTTATCTTCTCACGAACTGCCCAGAACACACCAGATTCACATCTTTCCAAGTTACATTCAGCGATAATCTGAATTATAGCATCTGTCATATTTTCTATTTAAGTTCTGTAAGCTACTAACTTTAGATGGTTTTACAGGGAATAATCTAGGAGGTTTAAGTCCGGGAGTTGACTTGGTCATAAGTGCTCGACCAATCCAATCTAACGGTTTCCTAACGTTTTGTCGAACAATCATACCGAAATTGCTGGAGGTAAGGCAAAAAAATTGCCTCTGATTTATTTTGAGTAGTTTGATGGTCTGACGATGAGATTGGGGTCTTGTATGTATGGGTGTAATTAATTTAACAGTTTTTATAGATTGAATTTCATATATGATACTTTCCGAAAATCCTCGATAATGATGAAACGGTTGTAAAATAGTCCAAATAGTCATATCTTACATTTTGTCACATGTTTAAGAAAAATTTTGCGTCTGCTCTGTGGAGTCTCGTAACTGCGTGAAAATTTGGAGGATGAGGATAAGTTCAGAAGACGAGCGTTTGCCTAACACTCGCTTTAAAAATACACATAATTAATACTAATAGACGTGGAAATGCTGGTCAGAAAATGTGCCTGCGTACGACGCTATTAGATGCAGAGTATTTCAATCGACGCCGACTGAGCCGTGAAGCAAGCCTTAGGTAAAAGCGCGTCATCTGATCTTACCCTTATTCTCGTCACATATGAACGCGACCCATAGAACCATAGATCCGTTTGGACTAGTCTATATATTCGGCGCCAGAAGACCTTCAGCTCAATCACGACTCACCTCAGAATGACACCGAAAATCTTTTCTCACCAACCCAATAGCTTATTGACATACTCTTAAAGACAATGCCCATTATTCAGATGGGCATGGCCATACAAATGTTAAGAAATATAGACAGCACACGCAGTGTCTGCGTTTATTCTGATCATTAAGAGACTTAATGAGTTGAATCATAGTATGTAGTTAATTCTACATCGTAATATAGCTAATTTACTTACTAGCCTTGGTAGAAATGCACAGGTTTATACACACGAACCGATTTGGCGGTTATACTTTAAACTCGAATGCAAATTTTGTTTTTCATTTTTATCTAAATTGAAGGATGTGGGACTGTAGCATTGTAAGTGATTTTTAAAATGCCATATCAATGAGGAAATCAACTCATAGAAAGTCTTCAGCTGAATAGCAAATTAGGACTATTCCTGTTTCTATTAACAATTAAATCTAAAACAATTCAAAATATCATAAAAAAGTGCGTCAAGTAGGTTGACCCTGCACTTCCTACACAACGCTGTCATCAGTTCATGATGGTTGGGGGTTGTATTGGTGGTGAAAGAGTATATGTCAATCTTTTGGTGTTAGCAATTTTGATTATGATCTTGTTAAACACTGGACTTTGATGAAGTACGTCGGTCAATCCTGAGTTTGACTCAATCAGTCCGGACTTTTAGCAACATCATTGGCCG